CGACCAGCAGAAGCAGCAGAAGCAGAAGCAGAAGCAGAAGCAGAAGCAGAAGCAGAAGCAGAAGCAGAAGCAGAAGCAGAAGCAGTAGCAGTAGCAGTAGCAGTAGCAGTAGCAGTAGCAGTAGCAGAAGCAGCAGCATCAGCAGCCGCCGCCTCCTCCTCCAGACATCAACGCAGGCGGTAGTTACCGTGGTTTCGCATGTTTTTGGGTCTGTTGAAAGACCATGCGACGATGTGGACTGCTACCTGTACATGCCGCCTGCCCTCCGCAAAACCAAGCTAATCTTTCGTCATCTTTACTGTGAGCGAGATGTTGCGCAGTGCAACGTGTCACATACTGACACGTGCAAGCTTGAACCGTGGCAATTTGCACCCGACCCGCTTTTCGATTTTCAGCCCCGCCCACACCGAGCGTATAAGCACGACAGCTCATCGCCGCAATGGACGGGTATTGTGATGGAGACTGCTATGGACTGCTAGACGTCGCCCCCCCGGTTCTTGTTTCCGCTGTTTTACAGCAAGCCGGGGATGTAAAGCGAAAAACGTTTGCACCTCTTCTGAATGAAGTTCGAGGAAACTTGGTGTTGGGTAGTTTGAACACTTCTCTCTTTTTCGGGTGTGTGAGCTGCAGCACGTTCGCGAGTGCCGTGCAAGGGAGTCAGTTCGGCTGCATGCAGTTTCCAAATATACAAGCATGCTGCTGATGCAGTTTCACACTGGTCTGACTGTTCTTTTGGTTCTGTTTGGATGCTTGGCCTGTTCGAGGAAGCTTCTGATCAGTATGCCAGTATCATCAAGCAGGAGACCGGTGCGACCAAGGCAAGCACGACCCGCAACCTCGTCTTTCCGGCTCATGCTTCCTCGTCAGGCGTGCAAGCTGACAATCGACAGCAGCAACTTCTTGCCACCCGCCCCGGTGCCTTCGGCAGACTCGCTTGGGACACTTCTTTTGCTTGATTGGAGTTACAAATTTTCACTTGCCACGCCCGAGGTGCCTGGCAAGGACCTCTCTCTGTGTGTAGTCTTCGCATTTGGTGCAGTGATGCCCAGTGATGCAGTGGGTGGAATTGGTTGAACTACTTGTAGTCGCTTTATCTCGCATCTCGGCTTTTTTACGCCTCGATCGGCGTCCACATTGGGGAACTGATTCCGGAGAGTATATCTCTTGATGTGTCGAAGTGGGCCTCGTTGTCATCGATCGGCGTCAACAGGACTGCGGCGCACGGCCGAGTAGGTTTCTACGTTTTTTTTCTTGTTCAGAGTTTCAGTCGAAGAAAGGGATGCCTCGGTCACACTGATCGCCGCCGCGGCGAGTCAGGAGTGTTGAGTGTAGGTTTGCATGGTGTTATAGAGATTCCTGAGTCGCTAGTTTTTTCCAGCATCTCCCTCGTGAATGCTGTTGAAACATAGTAAAAATACTATATATCACCGTGCTGACAACGCTGGCGTCCGCAGCATATCCGGCAGTTTGACCCATGTTGGCTCTTTGCCGAAATTCTAGCGTCTACTTGGGGATTGCTGTGTCCTGATGTGTAATTCCGCCGCTAATGTGTATTCCGCTATGTAGCGTCCACCTCGAGGTGATGTGTATTTCTGACGACCTGATGTGAGATGAGCCCGCAAGTAGTGTAGGTTGAAGTTGGTTGAAAGCTTGATAAACAGCTTGGGGAAAAGCTGCAGGATGGGCCCTCCTGCCTGGGCGGGGTGGTGCTCTCGTGCCAAGGCGTGGGACATGAACCCACAAAAAGCACAAAGAAGGGGTGGGTCTGCGAACAACATCTTAGGTGGGAAGATATCTGTCGTGCGGCACTCAGAGATGTATCAGCTGGCTTCAGCTTCACGAGTAATGGCTGCCGAACACGGTCTTCAAAGGACAACACCATCGACACGCGACTGGGATTGGTGTCGACCTCACAGCAGGCGGTGCGTGTCAGCATGCTTTCTTTCAGACTGTTTTGGAAGGTCATGGAGCAGGCGAAGCCAGCCATCCGCAGTCTGCTCTTCCCATCCAAGTACGCGGCTGAGGATGATCAGGTCAGGCTGTATCTCGAACAAAGGCTGTCGCGAGAAGAACCAGATGTCAATAGTAAGATACCATCGTCCCATCACGTGTGCATCCCTCCACGAGAATGCTACTGTATGTGGTCCCAGAGGTAAATCCTTTCATTACTGGAACGGCTTGGGCTATGCCGTACTTAACCATCTTTGAGGCCTCTTGTGGGACTTGCACGGGTCAGTGGAGATGGCATCACCTGTGGTGGTGACAGTTTTCATTTACTCTCCGACGATTTTGAGGAACTCTCTAATGTTAACGCTACGCGACCCGCCTCGGCCCGGCCCAGTGCATCCGCGTCAGCATGGTGATTCCGCAGCGCCCAAGTCGCTGGAGCCCAAGCAATGAGGGGTTTAGGGTTCCGGGTTTATGGTTTATGGTTTAGGGTTTAGGGTTGAGGGATGAGGGCTTAGGTTCCCTCTCCGGGCAGGAGGGGGCAAGGAAAGGGCAGCGGGGAGGGGGGCAGGGCAGGGCCTGCTGGGCGGGGCTTCAACTGCCCCTGGTGGCTTTCAGATCGTGGTCGCCTACGGGGAGTACCCATTCCAGGCAAAAAAAGGGGGCCGACGTGTGGCTTAGCTTGGACACCTTCGGCCCGAGGCCTCGGCGGATATTGTAGCAGAAAACATGTCAGGATGCACCCAGAACGCAAAAGGTCGAGAGGGCTCTCGGGGCCTTGCTAAAGCCATCTTATGAAGACAAAACTCAAATTACTGAAAAAAATACTGAACAAGGGCAGAGGACCGAGCCCTCGGCGCCCCGCTTCGATGTCACACATGTTTGGACTGAGGTAGCTGCGTGATGCTGCGTGAACGGCCAGCTGGATCGTTTTGCAGTCTGGGGTTGCCGAGTGATGGCTGGACAAGACTTGATGTTGGTTTGAAGCAAAGGCAGAAACCAGCCGAAGTGACTAGACCGCCATTCACCTTGGCATTCCGGTGTTCAAGTTGCATTTAGCCCTGAGCTGGGAAGGCTGTCCGTCTCTGACCGAATTGGAATGGAGAGGTCAAGCTAGCCAGCAGTTTTGCTCCCATGACCCCATGGGCCTCAGAGGCAGTGTCAACCAGCCTAGACCGGATGGAGGTCTGGCTTGGCCAGTGCCCTTGCTAGCCCGTGCAGTGCGCATGTGTCACAGATCCTTCGCTGAGTGTTCGGGGGACTGTTTTCGGGAAGCTGTGGCCTACATCGATGTTCCGTGATTTCTAATCGAACTGGGCCCACATGCTTCATGCGGGTTGAGTCCCGCCGAAGTTGCCGAAGGATGATTCCACCAAGTATGCTGGTTGTTTCTTTTTGTGAGACTTCCGTCGTGCCACAACTCAGGCGGCGCAAGCGAACCTTTGATTCACAGCCTTACAGGACACTCCTCGATTGTGTGGGCAGAACTTCGGCAGGTCTGGGTGCAGAGCCCCATCCGCAGGTAAACATGGCAACATGGTACTCCATGCGGCCGGAGCAGGAAAACATCCTGAGAGCATGGCGTGGCCGCGCTGGCCGGCGCCACTGAGGTTTTGGGCTCCCCTTTGTGCGTTTTGTGAAGTGTTGGACTTTACAGGAACAGCCTCCACAACGGGGGTACTGCCTCGACTCAAAGCTTAGTGGGCTGAAGGCTGCCTCTACAGACTCAACTGTTTGAAGGGGGTCTCAGCTTTCTGTGTGCTATGGATTTGCCACCTCATAAGCCGGCGCAAAAAGAGATTCTCATGAGACTGTCGCTCTAATTGCAGCATCGGCCTTAGCACAGCATCGGAGCTGCACTCAACTTGTGACAACGTTCCGGGGCAGGCAAGCAGGAGTCGCAGCAGAAGAGGCGTGGGCCTAGGGGATTCTAGGAGTCCAGGACCTGTGGTTCTGCGAAAGTCGTTCCTTCAACATGTTTCTCTGCTACTGATGTCTTGGGACAGTAAAGGACAGGACATATCCAGGAGTTGTAGCCCTTCAACGCTCCCCGAATGTCCCCGAAATTCCCACTGCAAGAAGGCTACATTGGAAGGCATTCGGAGTGAGAGAATTCCTTGGTGCAACGAGAAGACCTTGGTGGTGTCGTTTGTGGAAGTGTGTTGATAGCAAGTGAGCACAGGTCGGAGTCGGAGAAGATCCTGAGAGCAGTGGCCACGTATGTCCTGGCTTGCCAGCACCAGTGCCCGGTTTTAGGACAACAAAAGTCTAAGCAATCGCCAGGAATATTGAATCATGCGGATGTTCAGGTCTGCTTCGAGCATTGTTGCACTGGAACAAGACTGAAACAACATACTGTGTTTAGCAGAGCAGGCAGCAGCAGGCAGGTCACCCACAGCACTAATTTCAGCAACTCAAAGCATTCTGCATTCTGCAGCTTGTGCAGTAGCAGCTCGCTCTCGGTCTCTCAAGCCTTCCCCGTTGGCTGTTGCTGCGCGCGGAAAGAATGGATCTTGCGGGATGCTGGCGGTAGACAGATTCCTGCCTTTTCCTGCTACTGATGTCGTGTGAGAAGCCGAAGCCTAGATCCGGGACCTGGCTTCCTGGACGCGACCGGAGCGGCAGACGATGCTGCTTTCGAGAGCATGGGGGTGCGCTGATGCCGTCAGTTCATTTTTTCTGCATCTCAAACTCTTAGGGTCAAAGGGTCCAAAGCGAAGCGGCAGGCCGGATCTTCAGGAACTAGCATCGGAGCTTTGCTTTGCTGGTGGAGTGCCAGCAGGGCTCCCAGAGCAGGCAGCAAAGTGACCGAGAGAGGTAGTGGCAGTCACTTCATTGCAGACCAGGTCAAACTCCACAAGTCCGGAAGCTGAGCCGCCCTCGCTGCAACGGCGCTGTGCGCCCTGTGTGGGTGCAATGTCAAAACATGCAGTGTGTCCATTGCGCTGTTGGGAAAAACCGCGCTCTGCTCGCTGCGTTGGACGATGTTACGATGCTAGACGACTGTGACCTGTGCCATCACGTGCCCATGATTTTCTGCTGATGCTTGCCAGGAATGAGATTGGAGATGTCGGAGTCACGCATCTTGCCGAAGGACTCATGGTCCAGTGTCTAGTGCTTGCACCTGCTGAACTTGTAGTCAGAGCGTGTTAATTAATTTTAGTACACTTTCTGCAAGACATAGCCAATCTTTGCAGGATTGAAGAAGCAGCGGGACCTCAATTCACAATTTACAGGCGCGTGATTTCGTAACCAATCTAACCTCGACTCGCCGTTCTTGGTAGCACTTGTTGACCGACTGCAGTAGACCGCACCCCTTTGGCACGAGCCGCTTCCAATTCTTAGCCTGGTTCTCTGCGGCTCCCGTGAGCTTTCTCTACGTTTCGGTTCTGAGACAGGCAAGCAGCTCTCCTGCGTGGTGGAGCTGGTCCAGCAGCGCGCGTCTTTCAATTATGATGAAGCGGGAGAGAACTTTGGTAGAGAGAGATGAGGCGAGAGAGAGAGAGAGAGAACAACTAACCAGGGGACTTGAGTTGAGGGACGGGGGGAGGGGAGGTTCTGTTCGGAAGGTTTCTTGAGCTCGGGGTTAAGGGGGCGATTGGGGATAAGACCAAGTGGGGAGTGGGAGGTTGGCTTCGGGTAGGTTGCGCAGGGGAGTTTGAGGATTGGGGGCTTCATTCGGTTGTGTTGGAGTCGAGGGGAACACAGAGCCTTCAGAGCATCACAGCAGGGTTGGAGGGATGAGGGGGCCGCTAAGTTTGGGGATGGGCCGTGGGGGCCGCTAATGCTAGAGGGCACCGAGGGACAGGCCGCTAAAGGACCTAAGGTGCTAAGGTGCCAAAGCGCGGGGGGCCGACACCGGGCTTCCGGCAGGTAAGGCTGTTGCAGCCAACACGGCTGCTTGCGAGTCTAGCGAGTACTGATTCGCAGACGGACGGGGGCGCGCATCAGCGCGGGGGGCCACCCCCATGCCCCAACGAAAGAAAAAAGAAAGAGTGACCCCAATATGGGGGACGTGCTGCGAGTCACAGTCCGGGGCGCGCCTTGGCGCGGGGGGTCAACCCCAAGCCCCAAAGAAAGAAAGAAAGAAAGAAAGAAAGAAAGAAAGAAAGAAAGAAAGAAAGAAAGAAAGAAAGAGAGAGAAAGCCGAATCACGGCCCGCGCCCGGGGGAGCCGGCCTCAATGGAAGCATTTCCCCCGCGGCAATGTTCCCTTGCAACCCTTTTTTCTAGCCGGTGTTGTTTCCGTTAAGGATTGTGTCACTTTAAGAAGATGTTAGCGGGGTAGCATGCACAGGATATCGGGGGAAAGGCGTTCTTCGCGGGGATACATGTCTCACGCTGACCTTGACGTGGACAGGGCGCGCCTTGTGCGCGGAGGGTGCGTGCGTGCACCCTTCAAGCCCCGAAGAAGAAGAAGACGAAGAAGAAGGAGAAGAAGAAGAATAATAATAAGAAGAAGAAGAATAATATGAATAATAAGAAGAATAAGAAGAGACCGGTCAATCGGTCAATCCATGTATTTCAGATTGAGTCTCACCAAGAAATCGGCAAGGTTTCGGGAGCACACACACACACACACACACCCAAGCCCTCTTTCCCGAAGTGAAGCCAGCCGGGATGTTGGTGGAAATCCGGTGTTCGTGCGGTTGTGGGGAATGGAGAGGAACAGAGGGCATCGCCTCAGCAGCTTTCCATCGCAAGGTTGTTTGTCGTTCTTCGCCATCATTTCGTTGCGAAGGGTCAATCCGTACTGTTTATGGCCCTTCGCTGTTCCATTCGCCGTGTGGGAGCAATCCCTTCAACTTTCAACTCAGCCCTCGTCTCAACGAAACATTTATGTGTTACTGTGTTGGCTTGGGGAGAAGAGGGCATCGTGCCGTGGTCTCAGTTCATGCAGTTCTAAACATAGCAACTCGGTAGACTTGGGAACTGGAGACACCCAAAGAGGGCCCCGTTTTTGGCCGGGGGCATTTGTGGGAGAGTGACGTCTAGTCCAGTTGTGGTTTCGCTGTCGGTTCCTTCCTCTCAAAGCTCCCACTTTTCACACAACAGGCTCGGTAACAGCACGCCTTCGGGTGGCCCGAGGGGTCAGGTGCGCAGAAAAAGAAACAGCAATGTATGCATTTGAGATTTACGGACCGAGCGCTCCCTGGGAATTCGTGATGACATTAGCAAATAGAGAAGTACAGAGAAAAAGTATGGAAAACAGACAGGAAACACAACAGGAGAGCCTTTACTCGCACAGCCCCGGAGAACGGAGCGAAAAAAGAACAGGCAGAGGATCAAGACCAGAGTTGCCATGACTCTGTGTGGAGCTCCCTGCCTCCTTGGCCGAAAAAGAAAGAAAGAGAGTTGCTGAGTTGCTTGCTGAAGTGAATGCTCGGGGCACTACGAACAGACTTAGAACGTTTGAAGTCCTGCCTATTGTTGCTGCGGCGTGTCGCAATGCCAGGACTTGTCTTGCAATCCAGTTGGCGACCAGGGCGCGAAGGTGCGGCTCATGTGTGGCTATTTTTTGCAAGAAGGGAGGGGGGGGGGCTCGGGAAAGGGCACAGGAAGGCTTTTTGCAGTCGAGGCTTTGGCCGATGCAGCTGTGGCTGCCTTGACCTCCGGCGAGAGCGTGCGCTTTGAGGCCTGAGAAGCGGCCATCAGTTCTGTGGGTCAAGTGACGAAACCTCGTCAGATGCTGCACTTGGGGTTGTACGCCAGGCCCTTTGGGGTGTGGAGGAGCTGATCTTGCGGAACACGGTCCAGAACCCTGCTACCTGTCCCCTCATCTGCTCCCCCGTGCATTGAGTCCTGTGCTTGCGCGGTTTATGCATCTCCTGACTCAGGGCATCACTGCCAAAGGCTGTGATGCGCTTTCGTGTGCGGTGGCCGCGCGTGCGACCCTGGCCATGGAGGCTGCGTTGGCCGAGAGCTCGGATTCCTCGTGCTTCTTCGTAACCCGCTCGCAGCTTCACCAGTGCGAGTTGCCAGAAGTCACGAGCAGCCAGAGAAGCAGAGATCCGTTCCGTTCTCTGCCAGCTACGAGAACATACGAGAACCTCGTGAGAATCTTCCAAGAAGCTCGAAAGTCAAAGCTTGCTGAAAGATTGGAGCAGTTTGAAGCCACAGATTGAACGATGCTGGGGCATGCCGAGGCACTGCGAAGAAGCGATGAACTCATCGAGAAGGTGCGGGTGGAAGCCTCAGAGAGAAAGTTCGCCAGAGCTGGGTGAGGCGAAATGAGACCAGCAAGACCAGACACGTGTAGATTTTGGCATCTGGCCTACGCAGCTGAGGTGAAGCGCCTGCGGCGTCCCCGGGCAGTGCAGGCACAGCCGGATCACGGCTTGGCTCCAGGATTTCAGTTTTTTCGTAGGTTCCCCAAAGCCACGGAAAATTTGGCAGGTTCATGGACTGGACCTCATAGATCCTCCACTCCGGAGTGATGCTGAGACGGAGCTCCAGGCACTTTCTGCTATGCTTACACAGAGTGGGTCTCTGGGTTTCTTGAATGCGGGGATGAGCCATGACGATTCTGGAGTATGAGAGGACTTGTGGCCCACACTGCCTACACCATTGATAGAGGAGCAGGCTGGGTTCGTTGAGTCCTTTCTGTCCTCACCTAAGCAGCATGACGTCGAAGCTTGTCGAACATTGCCATGCATTCTTGTGGACTCGCACAGGCAGTTGTCTTGACACATTACTCTCCCTTGCATTGCGACAAAGTGCTGCTACTGTACGTTTCCCAAGCTTAAGGCTTCATGCTTACGAAAGTTCAGCGTGTGTCAGACCTGGGCAGTTTTCACCACTCAAGGGTGCAAAAAGGATGAGACCCCATGTCTTCAAATATGATTGTTCTTTACGTTTCAGATTGTCCCAGCCAAGCCCACCGTGGCGCCTCAATGGTGCTGGCATCGGTGCCGTACAATGATGCACCTGAACGGATCCGCGGCTGGTCGCTGATGTGCGGGTGCCATTCCCGGCAAAGTTCCTTCGGTCTTTGGCTCTTGACCGCATGTTCCACTCTTGACCAGACTTCGCAAGGTTCCAAGCTGAAGGCTTCAGAGATTGGTCCGACTTTGCGAAGTGCCTTGCTCAGTCTGCATCAGTCTGGAGCCCTCGTGCCTTTGTGGATGGTGTCCACGCTGCTGGACATTCTTGGCAACTGCTTTCAGTCCTCGTGCTTTGCATGACTTACCAGTCGGCAGGTTCGTGGACGAACGAGCAACTGATGCTGTGAAGCATTTGAGGCGATGCCGGTGCTTTAAAGTCTGTGTGGCTTGCATCGTGACATGGTGCAGAGACACGGCACAGTTGGGCCTGTGCCGCTTTGCCAGGCAAGCACGCAGAGGCAGCCCTGATAGAAAGGCTGCTTTGCTGCAAGTGCTGCTTTTGCACTTCTCAGAGGTTGACAACGTGGCAGCTCCAGATGTTCCAACTGTTATAAGAACTCTCTGCATCGTGAGGCCTTGCCCAAGGTTGGTAGGAGGAAGAAGGCCGCTGACTTTCTCTCAGAGTCAGAAACCGTAGAAGCATTGTGGCGTTGAAACCATTCCCGACGTGGCACTTCACATGGAGCATGCTGTGATCACGTCTCCCGGACTTCTCTCCCTCGTTCCCTGATGCAGCTCACCCCCAAGCGCTTCTGTGGAGACCTCCGCCACATCAGGCAGGGAACGCGATAGCGTTAGTGCATGTTAGTGCAAGAGTGGACGCAGCTCATAGCTCCTTTTCGCTAAGCAAGTGAGCAGCTCTAGCTCCGATCCGTTCACCAAGGTCTGAACCAGGACTTCATGCCGTCTATTGGAACGCGAACGGAAGCTTGGTTGATTGAATCTAGGTTTGAACTTCAACCGTTGAGGTCTTATGATGTGAAGTAGCGTGAATAGTGCCCATTGCCATGAGAACAAGCCCTAGGTGTTCCGCAGAGTGACTTCAGCGCAAAGCTTAGCATTCGAGGGCTCGTGCACACAGAGCTTGGACGAGTTTGGTGTACTCTGTGATGCTGATCGCGACTACAAGAATGAGCCTGTGAATTATCCTTTGTGCCAAGAGTTCTCAACGGGTTGTGAGGTGTACCGTCCACACCAATAACAGCTTCGCAGGCAGCTTGTCCTGGTGCATCATAGAATTGTCAGTGTCGGCAATACCGTACCAGGGGTTCACTTGTCGGGCTGTTAGAGTCCAGAACGCTTCCAGTCGTCCTCGAGGCACTTGAATTTTTGAACATGATAAGATGCATCTGTCTCGAGGATCAGGGGTGGAAGTCCACAATACTGAGACCTCGTGTCGTTCCTGTGCACGTTCAAAAGCACACTTTTTGTGCAAGCTTCTCCGTCTCCTGCGCCCGAAGATGCAAGGGAACAGCCTGTCCCTGTAAGGCAATGGAAGCCAGCAGCAGCTCAGCAGCAGCCATGCCATGTTCCATACCTTATGTGCACTGAGCCTTGAAAGAGCGCCTGAAGAGGCCATGAGACCGCGGAGTGCATGTTCATCGAGTCGGGGACTTGGACTAGGGACTTGTGGCCACATGCCATTGAAGCAGTGCTTAGGCCAGACGCGAGGCCGTGGGATCCTGTGAGTTCTCTCTCTGAAAGAGTTTTGAAGACATGTCTTCTGATTTTGTGACACAGTCTCAGTTGCAGTGCTGGACATGCGCTCGACAGGCAAGCCGCCAGCAGCAGCTCAAAGAAAGGCACGGGCTTTTTTCGTGCTAATGATGAGCCCGTTGCTGATGTGGCTGAAGGTTCCCTGGTTCGTCAAGACAGTGAAGACATGCGAAAGGAAAAGCGCAGAGGGCAGACGCAGTTGTCGCCGATGCCTCTTCTGAGCCACAGTCCGCGGCAGAGGTGCCCTGGGTTCGAATATGTTCAAATGCACTTGAATGCACTTGAATGCACTCAATGCACTCAAGACAAGCACCTTTCTTCGCACCTGAACGCAAGGTATTCAGGCAAAGCGCTCCTGGCATCCTGGCAGAAAATTCAATGGCGTGCTGCATATTGTGCAGTCACCGGGAGCTGAGGAAACACTGCCGCCAATTGATGGCCCCGGGGCTTACACAGTACGGCGTTGTTCCATGTTGTTCCCATATTTTTTCAATTTTTTCTATGATTCCCCTGTGTCCATCTGAGAATCTGTGTATATCTGTGTCCCCTTGGCGTCGCCTGGCTTTCAGAGAGGCTTGGATCTGACAGCCGTGGATGCGCCGACCCCTCGTGTCTCCATCGCCAAGGGCCCACAAATACACCAGCAGCTCACCTTAAGTTTCAGAGAGTTTTATTCAGAGAGTTTTATTCAGGAGATTTCAGGGGTGACCTGGGTATTCGCATTCTACAGAGTTCCATCGTACCAACCAACGCGTACATGCGGTGCTGTCACTCGCAGACATGAATTGCTTGGCGGTGTTCAGCTCGAGATGTGGGGTTACTGGGATGAGGCTGGCACATGAGCTCCGGATTCCTCTGGAGCTGGTACAGTCTGCGACCGACATCTTCAGCCGCTACTCCGATGGAGAAGGTGTTGTCAGTGTTTTGCCAATGTTGTCTGTTCAAACACCTGGCATATGTTTGCATATCAGCTTGACATACACCGTGCAGGCGCAGACTTGTTTCAGCGGAAACTGCGGATGAGCAACTTTCCGAAACTATTGTGTGTGGCTTGCCTACAATTCAAAGAGGGTGAGCGAGAGAGAGGTTGCTTTGATGACATTTTGCCTCAAGTCGGAACCCGCTTACGGTATAATTAAGCAGCTTACGTTTGTCAAGGAGTCAATCTTCACTTCGTTCCGGGGGCAGACACAGTCAGTCAGATGAGAAGCGCTCAAGCTTTCCCAGGTTAAAACACACGATATGACCGAGCGAAGTTGAAGAGAGACAAGCCTCCAAGCCCGTAGACCAAAACCCAATGCGTGTGGCTTCGCAGCACGACGATGGCCAGCTCGGAAGCTCTGGTCCAGGGAATAATGGGATGAGTGTGGGCCTTGTGCGATTTTTTCGCAAAGCGAAGAGGCCTTGCCTCGCTTTGCTTCCCACCTTCCAAAGGCACATTGCAGCCGCTACCGTGGTGGGCAAGTTGCTGTGCCAGTCTGTTCGCGAGGAGGCTTGCGGGCTGTGAGGGGGCTTCGGGAAGGTGGCCGGCGCGGAGGCCGGTAGGCTCGGGAGAGGAGCTGCGCTTGAACCCGCGGATGGTTTTGGCAACCTCGTCTCATCGTGAACTCCGGCACCGTGCCGGGGCGGCAGGCTGGAAGAGTAGCTTGCAGGTGCTTGGCCCGAATGTTTGCAAGCACCGCGTGCGTCGGGGGAAGCGGTGGCAGGTCTCTACAATGAAGAAGACTGCAGCCCTGACTAATGAAAAGTGGCTTGTCCCCGTGAAATCACAATGCCAAGGCCTCTTCAGCATCTCGTCTTCGGCGCTTGTTTGTCGCAAGCAAGCCCTGAAGAAGAATAAGAAGAAGAGAAGAAGAAGAAGAAGAAGAAGAAAAAGAAGAAGACGAAGAACATAAACGAAAGAGAGAAGGAAGGTTTGGTTGTGGGAAGTCCAGATCATGCAAAGGACGTTCCGATGATCATGTGAGATTCGAGACAAGCGCATTGTGGGGAAGGCAGTGAGCATTCCAAGTATCATTGAAGAAACCAAGTCTTGTTGGAGCATCTGAGGGCAGGTGCTAGCACTCCGGTGGGGTTCATTTAGTTTAGTGAGCAGTCCGGGATCATCTGGGGCTGGCCAGCGAAACGGAGGGCAGGTAGAAATATTGCAGGAGCCATCAGAAAAGTGTCTTGCGTCAAACTTGCCGCCGCATTACTAAGGAGCTGACTCGAGTCGCGTGCTGAGCTTTTTCTGGGAATGCAGGTCTTTCAGCCGGACCAATGGCCTGCTTGAGGTAGAGAGTCTTGCTGATCTGTCACCACATTTTGTGGAGACGGCGACGCGAACTGCAAACCGAACAAACAGTGACACCATCGCTTTGAGCCTAGCACATCCTGGCACCACAAATAGGGACTCAGGGACTCTGTTTTTTTTTTTTTTTTTCCCCTTCTGCGGGCTGCTGAGGATGTCAGAGACTTCTTCATCTGGTATTCAGCTTTCAGCTTTTCGGAGGAGCTGACACCCAACAAGGACATGCCTCACCTGTGCATTTTTCTCGGAATCGTCGCCTGGCCTTGTTCGCTAAGTGCGCTTTCCACTTGCGACTTGCAGGAAGATCACAGGACGAGGCGGCTAGCGAAGAAGCTGGGCCTCGAGGCGCCTGCACTTCCCACAATGTGTTTGTGTGTTCACAACGTCTCCAATTCAAATTTGCCGATTGCGTATTGGACGTTTAAGACTCCAAGAAGTGTCTCAGTTTTGAGCGGCGAGGTTGTGGATGTCGATGATTATCGCAAAGCCTTCGACAAGTTCGACACAGACAAGAGTGGTCACTAATTCGCAACCTCAGCTGCCTACCCAAGAGATGCTGAATGGCAAACTTATGGAAGTTGTCGGTCAACTGTCGCCAGTGAGTATTGAGGCATATCCTTGGATGAAGCTGAGGCGTGATTGAGATAGATGAGTTTGAGGACATCCTGCGACATCTTCTCAAGCTGCCGATGCTTGCCGGCAGGGGGCATGTAGTGGCTCGTGGCTGCTTTGTAGAGTTGTGATGGTTTGGACCGCTTGCTCTCCTCTTGCTGTGAGCACAGGAAAGAGACGGAACTGGAGCCCAATCGTGTGTCTTGTTGACATTAAGTGCGCGTTTTTATGTTCTCATGCTGTACCTTGCAGCAGCTGCATCAGTGTGGGAGTGGTGTCGCGAAGCGCCGGAATAGAATGAGCGAAACGGGGCCGATTTGGACTCAGGGACGGGGCTTTGAGCTTTGGGTTTGGGATGTGTCAGCGCCAACAGCTTCAGACTTGCCACCCAAGCCAGTGGCTATCGCCGTGCCCTGTCCAGCCTTCGCTTGGCAAATGCTGTGAACGATGTTCACCGCAAGGCAAATGCATGTTTCCGTTGCAACAGTGGTGGCTGCAGCTTTCTCAATCGCGTCGGAAGGTTCGCTTTGGGAACTGTAGTGAGGGTTTGGGTTCAGGGTTAGGACTTAGGTTTAAAGCTAGGGTTCAAGGGTGATGCACGTCGGGGTTGGAGGAGGGGTGGGAACGAGGGAGGGAGGCGAAAGGCGCACAACGCGCAACCAGAATATGCGGATGCCCTATCCACTACTTCTCAGGTCGCGAATCTATGGCGCATTGCCGCAGCTTGGCAACGATGCGAAGAGCGCTTTGTTGAAGGAAGGCTCATGGCACGCAGCATGCGCTCAAAGCACTGCGCACTGAGGACAAGAACCGTGACGACGTGGTAGACTTCGAGGAGTTTTGCTTGTTCCTTGCCAGCAAACAGGCGTGTCAGAGATTTGTTTCCAACGCTGAATAAGTCTCAGTCTGGATGCCTCGCCCGCTGGGCTGATACAAGGTTCTGGTCAGAGTCTTACGGTGGAAGCGACAACGGTCAAGGACAGTGCACGACAGTTTTAGGAGCTTTCGCGTTCCAGCGAGATTACCCAAAATCGATAAGAATCGATCGGCGACCTGTTGTCGGTTTGCATTCCCAGTTGCATGGTGGCATTCAGGACTGGAGAACTTATTTGCCAGTGTTTATCGTAGCCTCAGACGAGTCCCAACCGCACGATTCAACTAGAGCGGCGAAAGTGCAAACGCTGCGGCCCCAGGCTCCAGTCTTGTCAATGAATGAATGAGAAGGATTCTCCTTGACATCAGGCCGTCCTGGCAGAATTGGGCTCGCTGACTGGACAAGCTCATTAGCAAAAGATGCTGCCGGGAAGCCTTGCAGCTCTTGAATCCGTTTGTGCCACCAACCAGCATTTGCACATGTTGGGGCCCTTGCACGGAGTAGGTGAGGTGCTTGAGGATGAAGACTGCTATGTCTAGGATGCATCTATGCCGCGAAACAGCTCACCTGCTTGCCCTGCCTCGGTTATTGTTCATATAGCTTTGTCAGATGGCTGCCACAGTTGTCGAACGACACTTAGATGTGGCAAAGCCAAGAGAGCGCTGATGGGTTGAGAGCAGCTTCTGGCTGATGGTGAGATATAGACTAGAACAGGTGTCTGAGCTAGCATCTGAGACATTTGCCAAGGCATGCTCCTTCCCAGTGCCCCTGAGTTTTAAATGTGAATGAGTAAACGGTGCATTCATTTCAATTCCCCAGCTGGGCGCTTGCTTCCTCAAGGAAGAGATGCGCTCGGAATAATTTGCACCGTCGGCGTGAAAAAGCCATAGTGTGCAGGAAGCATGCTACTGGCTGGCTACAGGCTGCTACAGCAGGGAAGCAAGGGAGCAGATCTTTGTTGCCAGGCCCTGGGCATCACGGAGCTAGTGGTCAACATGGCAGATGGCGATTCGGAAGGGGACAGGACGCCTTATGCAGGCCAGCTGAGTTTGCTTTCGAGGTCCAGATGGCTCGCCCCGAAAGTTCCCGGAGAATGGGCGCATGCTCCGTTTGAAGCTGGAATTGAGCAGTTGCTACAGTTTGTTACAGTAGGTCTTCCGGACGTTGACCCGATGGATGCCTGGCTGACAGATGAGATGTTCTCACCTCAGGACTACGGCCAGCCCACAAGTTTTTCCAGTCTGTAGGACCGGTGCGTTCTTGTTTCCAGAATGTTTCATTTTTGTGCGTTTGGGTTTGGGACGCTGGTCAATATGGTGTCATGAGGCCTGGCAAACGGCACCTCGAGGAGCTTGGCAAAGCTTTGCCAGCACGTGCTTGTACAGTGCAGTTCCAACGCCGACAGGTGTACAGCCGCGCGGGATACGCATAAGGTTTGGTTGCGGGGGTCCCGGGGCTAGGAAATTTCTTAGGGGTTAAGTTCGGGGGGTGGGGCGGAGGTGGGGGGTGGGGGGTGGGGTGGGGCGTGGGGGTGGGGCTACACGAGTGACTGCGCAAACAGGGAGCAGTGTCCAGAATCCTGTAGTGCAAAGCACTGTTTAGGGAGCATTCAGCGATGGGCATGCATACATTCATACATTCGTACATACATACGCATATACGTGCATTCATGCAGTCATACAACCATACTTAACCATACATTTTATACAGTCATACAGTCATGCAGCTGTACAGTGGTACATACAATCATATACAAGCATATACATTCCTATACAATCATACAACGAGGCAGAACAATCAATCAGACGATCAATCGTGCATGCTTCCGGCATAGACCCCACACCGAAGCAAACCGAGAAAACTCCAACAGCGAGCAATTAAGGCCACCCCAAGAACACTCCGAGTTCCCAGACCATCTTTACAACAAGCACTCCAAGACCATTCCAAGGCTACTTCAAGGGCACCCCCAAGGCCCAAAAAGCGACGACAGTTCTGCACTTCATGAGGGATATGCAAGACGAGAGCGCCATTTGCGGATCCCCGTAGAACGATGCACGAGGCCAATCCGTCCCAGAACCTAAAATGCAGAAAAGTGCGTCCAGGCGTAGTTTTCGCGACATGTGTCGGTGCAAGCCTCAAAACGAGCCCGGGACTTAGGCGGGAGCACGATTGTGTGTATTTGCGAGATGTTGGGGACTCCTCTTGACGGTTGCGGCCTTTGAAATGCGTACGGAGCTGCTGCGGCCACCGATCTAATTTTTAAAACAAGCGCCGCCTGGACTGCTTGGCTCACTTTATTTCCGTTCGAAAGCTCATTGTGGCAAAGGTTTCTTGTGAGATCAGTTCGTCAGAAGTCTCGAAGCTAGCTCCTTGGAGCTTGCGGGAGTTTTCGTTTACAACCTTCTTGTTTTGCGGCAAGAACGAGCTGGGGTTTAGCCTGATATCTCAGGAATGAACTGCCAAGCTTCCAACAAACTTGTAATCCTTACAATCCTTAGGCAAATCGGGCTTTTGTGCAGCTCTCAAGAAGCGGGTTCATGTTTGAATAGGCACCGGAACACATCTATCTAACGCATAGATATATGTTTATTCACACATACGTCACACATGTATCTGTCCGTGCGATGATTGGGCTTGTATTTCGGGTCGAGGTTGCGGCGCCCTTTTTTGCCCCTTGGCAGCTGCAGGACAGCACCGTGCACTGCGTCCGGATGGATGCAGATGACTCGGAGCTCATTAGCTACAGCCAGGTCCTTATCAAGTGTCTCACTCGCACACGACAGAAGTAAACACGGCCTATCCCATTGTGGATGCCATGAAGCTCAGCGACCAGATTGCCTGCCCGTGGACGTCAAGCTGTAGAAAGGCTGCGATGAAGTAGCCGGCTGAATCCTTCTCGTTGCCAAGGCCTTGATGCTACTGACGATTGGTTCAATGATGGTGGGCTGGAGACTCGTGCGGTCATGCTTTCCTTTGTATACACATGAGGACATGCTTTCTGTTATGCAGATCCCATGATCCCGAATTCTTTGTGAGGCAAAGCCCGGTTCGCACACATCAGGACGGTTGTGCACTCTGCTCAGCTTCTGCGCGTATGTGTTTCCTGACATATGCTTGAAGGCTGCCACGACGCATGCCGGGAAAGGCTTACCATTGTTCGATGTGCATGTGCGTGAGCGCATGCCATATGCAGAAGAAACTTGATTTCTGTCTTCGCTGCGCAGGTGTGAACATCAAGAATCTCCTGGAACAGGAGCTGGCATCTTCCGGCCCAACCTCCGTTGAACTGAACGCTGGTTCGTCTCCAGAAGCCTCCCCCATTGCAAGCGACTCATCTCTTGAATCCTCGCGACGATCCAGCCTGACAAGTGAAGAGGCTTCCAGACAGGCCTCCGAGAAGGTAACAGAGTCATTTGGGGTTACCAGCGACCTTTGCAAGGCCCTCGAGGTGAACTTCAACAACGTCAGCACCGTGAGCAACGTCAGTATGGCGAGCAATGCCAGCAATGCGAGCCATGCTTCGGCCACGTCGGACGTGGAGTCGAACCTCACTGCTTCGCCCACAGAGAGAGCGGCTCAAGAGGAGGAGGGTGGCTCTCCGAGCTCAGCGATGGCAGAACACTGCTCGATGGGCAGTGGTAAAGGAGACAAAGGCAAGCTGCCGGCACCTGGAAAGGGCAAGGGCCTCAAAGGCCCCAAGGGCCCGAAGGGCAAAGGAAAGGCCCCGGCAACAGGGAAGCAAGGAACCGACACAGAACTGGAGTCAAGCAACGACCAGGAGGGTGAGAAGGCGAACGAGGCCAAGGTGGAGAAGGAAGCGGAGCAAGGCGAGCAAGGCGATGAGAAGCCGAAGAGTGGCAGCGAGAGTGCCAAGGGCAAAGGTCCTGGCAAGGGTCCGCCGGGTCCGCCTGGAAAAGGCGCAAAAGGACCTGGCAAGGGACCTGGCAAGGGACCACCGGGAAAGGGCAAAGCTCCGCCACCTCCCAAGGGTGACGGCAAGGGCAAGGCAGCTCCCAAATCCAAGGCTGCGGCGACGCCTCCACGGTTTGTGGGTCAGACGCCTCTGGGACGACGTCTACACTGGGCGGGTGCTCACTATGATGAGCCTTCGGAAAACTCGGTTTTTCATGGCCTGACATCTGATGTGCGCTTTGACCCCGAGTTGCTGAAGGCCGGAGACAGGGCATGGATGAGCATCGCACGCGCGCGCGTGGGTGTGTGTGTGTGTGTGTGTGTGTGTCTGTTTGTGTGTTTGTGTGTTTGTGTATTTGTGTGTGCAGTGTTGGGGAAAGTCCTGTTGAAGGCCATGCTCTCTGGCGAGTCGGCGGAAAAGCCTGTGCTGTTCGGCAGGCCGAGCTTGACTGAACTGACTGTAAGGACCCACCCCATGGGAAGCGCATGCTTCAGGCGAAAGTCCGTGACAAAGAAAGCAGGCACACACCTCGGTTTTGCCTCGCACATCGCGCAACGCTATGGCAGAATCACAGTCCACGACCTGGGACAGTTTGGGCCCCTCTCGGGCCCCTCTCGGGCCCTCATGACCTATGCAGACCCATGCAGACTGCAGACTCATGCAGACTGCAGACTCATGCAGACTGCACACTCATGCAGACTTGGGCGTTTGGAGGCATCAGCCTATTGGATGGCTCACGGGCACAGAACCTCGCCATTGTCATGAGCAAGATGAAGGCCCTAGATTCTGAGCCTTGTGGATATTGAAAGCTTCTGAAAGTTTCAGAGATCTATTGTGAAGGTCTCCACCGAGGAGCACCGCACACATGTACTGAAGTTGGGCTTTCTCATGGCTTTCCCTTCTTCCTGAGCAAAGTCTTGCACACCAGGAGTTCTGCCAGAATTTGAAAGAGCTTCACTTCAGTGAGAGCTTTATCAATCCAGAGGATGTGGAGGCGCTCTCTTGCATCAGCTCAGATGTTCTGTCAAGGCTGCTTTGCTCCGCTGTTCAGTTGCTCATCCATGTACTGCCCACGGCGGAAGAGAGCAAGAAGCTGTTGGCCTGGCTCGCTTCTCTTGTTCCAGGTGTTTTTTTCATAAGGAAGGTCAACGTGAGATGCTCTGCATGTTGTCATGCAAGGCTGGAGTACAAGGACCGTGTGGCGGACCTTCGCGATGTGGGATAGCCCCGTGCTGCGCTGCACATCTGGTCACCAAGTCTACAGTTTTCAACGTGCTTGTAGCTGTGGCTCGTGTTCGTCCCTCTTGCGACAGCTCATCTGAATGTGTTCTCCACCTTGTGTGACATGCAAGACAAGTAGATGTATATAGCTGCTGGATCGTGTTCACGGCACAGGGACAGCAAAGTTGGTGCCACAAGTAGACATCGGAAGGTTTCTTTGTGTTTGCACAATGAACAGATCTGCTCCGCATGCGGCGGTATGGCCTTTCCCTGGTCGCACAGTTTTTGACAAGCCAAGGCGCAACGTGCCTCGAAAGTCTTGAAAGTCTATCATGAAGCTGTCCCTGGTACCTGCTAGGAAGCTGTTGGAACGAGCGCTTCACCCGCGCCATCGCCCCATTGAGCACATTCCACATTGGGGTTGTTGTTTTGACACTGCTAGCTGGACAAAAGGAGACGTGCTGCACCAGCCCGCGCAGGCCTCGTTCTGTAGAGTTGCGGACATGGCGTCAGGAGGAGAGAGAATGTAGCCTAAGGCCGGGGGGAAATCCTGACTGCTGGGATGGTCAGCGCTACACCTACAGGCCGTCCGCCACGTGCCCCAAGGGCTCTTGCATCAGCTTGCTTCGATTAGCATCAGATGACAGAAATGCAAGGAAAGGCGATAGTTCTCCACGAAGTGGGGCTTTTCATTTTGGGGGGGGTGGTGGGTACCACCCACCCCCCCCCCCACGGAGGGGGGGGGGGGTCACCACCCACCCCCCCCCCCCCCACCCCCGCCCCCCCCACCCCCTCCCCCTCACCCAACCCCCCCCCGCCGCGCACATTCCCGCAATTTCATTTCAAAATTATTCGAATTCACTAAAAGGACTTGAAATTCAATAAAAAATAGACCCAACTAGTTCAAGATCATTAAAAGCAATTAAACTATCAAGTGCAACGATAAAAAACACAAGAGCATAGAATTGTCGTTGCTTTGCAATTGGTTTTTCACCATTTTCAATTAAAAATATTGACTAAATAGTGAAATCACTTGTTCCATTTTCAAGTGATTTCACTATTTAGTCACTTTGTCAATATTTTTAATTGAAAATGGTGAAAAACCAATTGCAAAGCAACGACAATTCTATGCTCTTGTGTTTTTTATCGTTGCACTTGATAGTTTAATTGCTTTTAATGATCTTGAACTAGTTGGGTCGATGCTTTAATTTCAAGTCCTTTTAGTGAATTCGAATTATTGAATTATTTTGAAATGAAGTTGCGGGGATGTGCGCGGGGGGGGGGGGGGTGGGGGAGGGGGGGGGGGGGGTGGGGGGGGGGGGGGGGGGGGTGGGTGGAGGTGGGTTGGGGGGGGGGGGGGGGGGTTGGGTGGGTGGTGTAGGAGAGTGTTGAAAGGGGGGGGTGGGTGGGTGGGTGGGTGGGTGGGTGGGTGGGGGGGAACTGTAAATTTCGAAAACGCGCTAAATGGAGAACTCTCGGAAAGGCTGAAGCCCACATTTTGTACAAGCAACATAATTTTTTTGTATGCTTCTGAACACACCCAGTGCAGGAAATGCTGCATTGAATCCGGCGACTCGCTAGCGCGCTGCTGGGATCAACAAGCCGTGAGAACCAAATTTGTTCATCTTGCCAGCAGGTTTCGGCCTGGCAGTGTGCTGTCGGATTTTGTGCTGTTTTGTTTCGCCTTGTGATGTAACGTCAGCTGCGTGAAGCGTGGTACCTGAGCCCTGAAACAGATCTCTTGCAGACGGTCGTCAATTCTGGAAGTGAAGAATTTCAAAAGATTGGGAAAAGTAGTCAAAAGACCCCAGGCCGGGAGAAAGGTTGCATGCCTGATGGTACCAGCTTAGGTGCCTCGACCAAGTGGCGTGTTGCCAAGAACTCAGCCTACAATTGTATGAAGTAATTCTTACGGCACCTGGTGTTCTGATGAACATGATGTGTTGAAGCCCCCCGGGCTCTCTAGACTTCGTGTATACTGGTGTAGTCGTAGTACGAGTAGGATTCCAGTTTGCCATCGCGCTCGAGCTGTCATCATGCTTTGTGCAGTCTGTAGATTCGGAGGGAGTCGGGTGCATTTTGGGCTTGAAGGTATGGGATTTTGGGAGTTCCCTTTCTGGAGGTGGAGCGGTGTGGCGTTAGGGGAACCTTTGTTGCGTTGATTAAGCTCCTCGCACCCTTGGGGGCCGCAAGTTGCTGGACACTTGCTCGCGTTTATGTCGTGGCTGTAGCCTGAGTTTAACGAATTCACAGTGCTCGAACAAGGTGAATGTGGAGGGGTGTTGATCGGGTGTTCATGGCCGGAAATGGGTGGAATGCTTCGTTCTGACACGACCGAGGTGTGTGATCAAGATGTTGGGGGCTGGATGGTGCATGAGGTCGCTTTCTACGCAGACACGAACTGTTCACTGAGGATCAGGAGACTCTCTTTTGGTGTGTGTGTGTGTGTGTGTGTGTGTGTGTCTGCGTGTTGTTGCTGAATCGTGTTGCGCAAGGCTTCGTGCAGACTTCAGCAGGCAGTGAACGCAACAAAACAAGCGCCAGGAACCACTTACGAACCTTGGGGAGTGATCACCGTGGCACGTTCAAACCCAGCCATGCTTTCGATCTCCTGGCTCCTGCCTCGGAGGTGATGTCAGGCGTGTTTGCTCCACTTTTTTCGGGTATGGCTGTATGGCGTTCGGGACTTCTTTCGCAGCATTCTCTACTTCAGCCTGGCTCCCATAGGGTTATTGTTAGTAACTCTTAGTATCGTTACTGCACTCCAGCGGACATGGCTGGATGGATGACTCTGAGGGTTTTAGAACAGACTTGCACCTTGCCTCTTGCACATGTTTCTCTGAATGGGAAGAATAGCATTGCCAACCAGTTAAAAAACAGAAAGTGCAGATGCTACATCGGAAGTCTCGTGCAATGAAGAGCAGCGCCACGAGACGCAGGGGTGGCAAGACTCGAGTCTCCCAGTAGCTGTTCTTTATTACTCGCGTGTGTGTGGCATGGGAGCGTGGGATCCAATTCCCAGCATCAAAGATATAGTTTCATCTGGTGAATGTATGCAGACATACTTCTGTGAACAAGTAAACGCCGACAAAAGAATCCAGGACATCGATTTGGGATCCGATCATCGTCTTTCCAGATATTCTGTTCTATCATACATACATGCAGCGTTTTTGTTGTTGTTTCTGTTTTCCTGTTTGTTCATTCAACAAGACTTCAAACCCGAGAGAGACAAGCTCGGTGCCGCATAGGGTAAGGCTGACTACATGTTAGGGTCAGAAGCAAGGCTGATTCGGCTGACCGTTTCTTTTGGTACTCCAAGCAAGCCCGGTGCTGAGCGTTGTGTTCAATGCCTGATGCGGCTTGCTTGCTTGCTTGTGTTGCAATTTCCAGACCAGTTGGTGTGGAGTAGCACTGAGCTTGTGGGCATGTGGAATCATGGAAGGCGTGGCAGATGCTTAGGCTGATGTCTAGTGATGCCATTGCGTCTGTTTGAGGGGTGCAGCTGGCCGGACATTTGGGTTCGAGCTTGCCAAGAAACCTCAGTGGCAGCTAGACTTCATAGCGATAGGCATCTTTGGCCTACACATGAACATGATTCGACTCCTTGTTTCAAGCCTGCTCTGTGCGGTCGTCTGGTCGACTCCGGCTTGCGAGGAAGATGCTTGTGATGTGGAGGTCGAAGAAATGAAAGTGGAATTACTTCAAAAAGCGGTGGCCGTTGGGAAGGTCGAGCTCCAACAACAGCCAGGAGTTCCGTTTTGGTGTTACAGTATGGATGCATACACTCGCAGCACCGTTGCATCGTGCAATGGTGGGCCAGGTGGGTGCGTCTGCATGGGTCCCGTGGTCTGCGGTGGCAACGGTCCCTTTTTGCCTGGATCCTGGCAGAGCTACTCCTACTCTTGCTGCTCTTGCGGGACCGCTCCTGCACCTGTGGCAACCCCTGTGTCTCCAGCGGTGACTCCAGTAGCACCTGCACCTGCACCCGTGGTGGCACCAGCGGCGGCGGACCCCAAAGCCGACTGCGCAGTGCACCCGGCTTGCCAGGCTTTGAAGCTCGCTGGAAGCTGCTGCCCTGCCACTGATGGCACAATGCTTGGATGCTGCTCTTCAAACTCGACACTTCTGGAGACAAACGAGACGAAGGTCGAGGTGAACTCCACAGCTGTTCCCGCATGGTGTGACAAAGTGAAAAGCAGTGGCATGACCGCCCCCCCCTGTGAGGGCGGGTCCCCGACCTCATGCTCATGCGTCGGTAAGAGTGTCTGCGGCGAGGGGGCGCCTGCGCCTGGCAGCTGGCAGAGTTTCTCAACTGCTTGCTGTGGCTGCACGTAGGGTCATAGATTCAACGTAGGTTCGACGTTGCACACCTGCTGCACGTGGATGCCGGCGATGCCGGCTTAGCCCCAGCAACCTTGGTCCGGTGCGGCTCAGATGGCTGCAACGCGAGAAAAGAGAAACACAGCTCAACGACATGGCATGGCCAGTCTGCAGTCTGGTGAAACCTTCGACATGGCGAGCACAAGTGTAAGCCTCTAGCAGCGAGGTCGGGGGGACATTTGGCTCATGGCTGCAAGACCATGTAGCTGTCTAGAAAGTACTAGGAAAGTTAGGGAAGCCTGGTTGCCAGGCTTGGGAATGGGAGGGGTGCCCTCCGCTCTGGAAAGCAGCGCAATGCCGTGCAAGAATGCGTCGAAGCACCTCAGATGTCCGGTGGACCTCCGGATATCCAGACAAGAGTCGAAAGGATGGGAGATAGGAAAGCCTATATCATGAAAGCCAGCTCGGGCTTGCGGGAGTTTTGTTTGCAACCTTTTTGTTTTGGGAAACAAGCAGGACTTCGGGAGACCTGTGGCATCCTGTGGCCTGATATTTCAGCGGGGAGGGAGGCGTCACGCCTCCCCCCTTCCCGGAGTTCTCAGCCCCCCCTTCCTTCCCCTCCCATCATTGCCATCATTGCCATCATATTAACCCGTAAGCCCAACGCGTCAATTCTGCAACCTGACCCTTAAACCTCAACATAATCTAAACCTCGAGGGTCCGAAAAATATTTGGAATGGGCTCAAGACCCCCAATAAACCTTGCAGTGCGCACGCGCACGCAAGGGCGAAGCGCAGCGTCAACCGGAACTCCAGCCGAACCTCGAGAATAGGGCCGCGCAAGAACACGCAAGGTGAAACGCAAGAGGAATTCCAAGAACACAAGCGGCGCTCGAATAAAGAACAGCCGCCTTGGGGGCCCTAGCTTTCGTTCGCCCTGCTCATAAGTCAGTTCTCCACAGCGCCTGCAGCCACTGGCTATAGCTATAGCCCCTGTCCCTGAACTGGTGTGCCGGTGTTCAACCAGAGAGCCTTGTCTGATATCACTACTTCCAGAGGTTTTTGTGATCGCATTGGTACTGAAGGCAGTGCTGAGTGTGAAGCTCGTTTATGTGTGTACTGAAGGGAGTCATCTCATGCAAGTGTAGCTTGTTATGTGTCTTTTGCAGCCTTGCATCTTTTGGCTTCAGGAGTCTTGCAGGGCGGCAGGATGCCGCGGGAGGACTCTGGCCACTTGACGGCAGTACCTGTGGGATTCTCTGGATGCGGTTGTGGACTCGTGGATTTGGGTTGTGACGGCAAGTGTCTAGACGAGTTCCTAGAGTGATGACCTTGGGCAAGGGTTACCTTGATGAGAGGCTGAGCGTAGAGATGGCGAAGCCATGCTCATAGGGCAGCGTGGTTCTGCCTACTGGTACTACTGCAGAAGGGGAGGGCGGGGCCAGTGAGGTGAGGAGGGATCATGGTTGGGAGTCAGGGTCGGGGTTTTGGCTGGACCCATGCCTCTTCGGCCGCAAAGTTGGGACCCCAGAAACAGGGATGAGCAAATTTCCCCCAGGGTGACCTTGCCCCATGAAAGAAAGAAAGGGAGATGAACTCGTGTACCAAGCGTACCTTGGCGTGGCCCTGTCGGGGTTCTGGAAGGAAGAGGAGGTAAGAGGAGGGAAGAGGAGGGAAGAGGAGGGAAGAGGAGGGAAGAGGAGGGAAGAGGGGGGAAGAGGGGGGAAGAGCGGGGAAGAGGAGGGAAGGAGGGGAAGGAGGGAAGGAGGGAAAGAGGGAAGGAGGGAAGGAGGCTTGAAGGCCCCTCCCCGGACCATCTCGAACTTGAGAAGACTTGCTGGGACCTCAGGTGACCGGCGAGACAGCCGTGACCGCGGCAGGCGACTGCTTTTCGCATGCTGAGTGTGCCTTCTGCACTCGGCCTTTGCAGTTACGGCAATCTGATTTCAAGCCAATCGTTGAGAAGTCATGCTCCTCCACGAGGTTTCGTGAAAGCCCGCGCAGGGCAAGCCCACCTCCGAGAGACACCCGCGACAGCCGCGAGCGAGGCTGCGCTGACATTCCAGAAGCCGCTGCTATCCGAGCATTCCGTGCCCACAAAGCAGTTGTGTGCTCTTGTGCTCTGCCCAGTTTTTGCAGATGACAGGTAGAGGCCGCGACTACGATGCTCGGCGTTTGGCTGGTGTTTTGCGGTTTGTACAAACGAGAAGGCACCTGGATAAGCCGGGATGCCTCCATAGATGCACTGCGAGTATCACTGCGCTGACCACCGAGGATAGACGAGACCGCAGCTATGACAGGCCGTTTCTCACGTGCACTCGGTCTCTGTGTGTGTGTGTGTGTGTTTTTTTGATGACGTCTCCTAGCCTGACTGTTACCTCGGGGAGGGACTACGGTGGCGGCCGTTCCAGGAGAGATGAGGGAAGGCCAGCAAATACGTCATCTTTATGAGGCTTTAACTCGCAAGTAGGGTTCTGCATGCGCAAATCAACGCAAACTTGCCTTGCGACCACTTGGAACAGGCGCTATGGAGGAAGGCTGCCCGTTGAGACACATGGTGTGCAGTGAAGCCAGCTTGCATCAGTTCATGGTGTCACATGGAAGCTTTCCTGCAGGTCACGTGACCGCGACGGTAGCCGAGATCGCAGAGATGACAGGCGACGCGACCGTGACCGTGACCGTGACCGTGACCGTGACCGTGACCGCTACGACAGAGACCGCAGCCCTAAGCGAGCCTTCGGACCGGGCGGCAGGCGGGTTTTCCAGTGTCTTCCTTTGACTCAACGAAGCCGTGTGAACGACAAGTTGCATTCGATTCCACGGTGTACACACTTGGAGGCCGAGTGGCAATTGGGGAGGTGTTCCTTGAATGGAATAGCCACAGCCAACATAGTCTTGATGTCTTGGACATCTTTCTGCTTTACTGACAGTGCTGGAGTCTGTGCTCAACTGAGGATTGGGAGTGTGAAAAGTGTGGCTGCAACAACTTTGCACGAAGAAATGACTGCTTCAAATGCGGTGGACCCAAGCCGAGCTAGGCAGCAAAGCTGCACAAAGAAGCATACTGCAAAGATGGCCTGTGGCTGATGTGAACTTTGACTGGCTGGGGCACCCGGTTTTGGGGCGCGAAAAACGGCTTGAACCGCCAAATCGAGTCTGAACGCCAGTGAATATGTGCATTTTCCGTTTATGACAAATGAGACTATGCATCACCTGATAGGATGCGGTGCCATGTGCAATGACATCGCAAAAGTTGTCGTGAAGGATTGCAGGCAAACCAACATCTTGCTTGCCTTGGTTAATTCTGCAGGTTTCACTGGAGCAGGCTGCTACCAGTAGTTGCCGATGGAACTCTTATGATTAGGACGAGCCAATGGCCCATCCTTGCTATGCTCCCATGCTTACATAAACGGCCTTATCCGAAAATCGCCTCGGCTCTTCTCACCTTCGGACCAGGTGAGTGCACGAGGCATCAGACTCAAGTGCGGAAAGCCCCATTGGGGAGGAGATCGGAAAAAAGCCCGCTAGTGGCATGAGTGCTCCAAAGTTCCCATGGTGTTCCATTTTTCGTCATGTTGTTTTTTCCTCTGATTAACTCCAGTTCTTTCTCTTTTCTCTTTCTCTATTTCGAGCCTTTTTTCTCCCCGTTCGTTCTCTCGCATGTTCTCTCGCGTTGCGAGGCCGGACGAGCAGAGGCCTGGCTTGGCTTTGAGGTCTTTCGACCCGTGACCGTGCAAACCACAGCTTTTGTTTCAAGGCTCTCGGCAAAAGCTGCAAAGCTGCAGAGTGATCTTTATACCATCCTGGGCACCCAGGTCAGATGTGTTGAGATCTTCCACAACAACATTCCCGAGGCAAGCCTCGTGGACCTGTGTGTGTGTGTGTGCTGAATTGTGCTGATGCAAGTTTGATGTGCTGAGGTGCCCGTGGTGTTGGAAAAGTGGCAGGCCACCACGATACCATGCATGTTTTGCAGATTGCGGCGGTGCCAATGGAGGCATCTGTTTGGCAGCCAGTGCTTCGAAAGCTTGTGCGTGGTGGATTCTGGGAGCTCAGAGCTCGGAGGAAAAAGCGAAAGCTGTGGCATCCCTGGTGCTCAGTGCTCTTTGTTTTCTCGAGGTATCTTATTGCTCCCGACGACTCGGATGGCGATCAGGAAGCATGTGAGGGCTTGGTGACCTTGGGTCACCAGCCGACTGCACGGTCGAAGGGTTGAACTATGAGACCGCAGTGAGCAGTTTATTTGATATTTCGATCGCTTTCGAAATGTGCAGTTTCCTCCCTCGGATACTTAGGATCAGTCCATGTACTGCGTCAGTGCCGCGTGTTTTTCTTTCGCTACCTCGCAGGAGCAGGGGACGGCAAGCCACCGTGCGCAGCAGCTGGAGCTGTGATTGCACAGTCCGCAAAGAAAAGTCACATGCAGATCCTGCTGTCATGAAGTGTTTGTGGGTGGCAAGTCCCAACAGCTGTGCCAGTGCAACGAAGATTGTCCTGCATCTTACTGGACTCGCGCAGGTGGAACAGAACATCATGCCCTTCTGCACTCTTCCAAAGGGAGTAGCACGCATGAAGGTTGCCAAGCCTCTTGACAGCAAGCCGGATCTATGTGCTAGAACGGCTCTTCAAGTTTGCACACTTCCTGGCCGGGCAGCATCACGTTGAAGTCGGTGACGAATCGTTTAACTGGAAACGCCTGCCGCCGGATGTACTGGTGCTTAGCAGAAGCGATATACAGCATGTGGAAGCCCGATCTTGCGCAGCGAGAGAGGGGGAGAGAGAGCGAGCGAGAGAATACGGGGGGAACCTTACGCCTGGAAGGAAGGAAGAAGAATACTACAAAATTCGCCCCAGGCCCCAACGAAAGAAAAAAGAAAGAGAATACCAGCAAGCTTGAAAAGTGCTTCGTGGAGCATACATGGTTTCGAGCTCTTTTGTTAAGCTTTACTTTGTTGTTTCTCTGCTTGTCTCCAAGGTTCGCGCTGTCACATCAGGCGCAGTTCATCTCCATCAAGAAGAGATGCGAGGCCTCCTCTTCATATGGAGAGGGAGAGAAACGATCTCCTGAGCCGTCCTGAGCAGTGTCTCTTCCAGTACTTCCAGTATCCCAATCCGAGTCCATATAGTCCATAGAATCTCGCTGTAGAGTGCCAAAAAAAACAGAGAATCCCCAGCCAAGAGTCCAGCACAGCCTGGCATGCCCATCCCCAGAGAATTCCGCAGGGAATCCCGCGGAGTCTCCCTGGAGCCCGGAGAGTCAGTGGAGTGCCCAATCACAGAGAATACCGCAGACAATGCTGGGAGCACCCAATCCCACATGATATTTCGGTGTACCTTCAAGTTACTCGGAAACATGTTTTTAAAACAAGCATGTTTCCTCGATGGATAACAACCCTCTGTATCCTCTAGGTTTTGACTCGTTCGAAGACACTACCCCATTTCCTCTCTGATATGATGCTTTTGTTGGATGTCAGTGGGAAACACAAGCATTAGTGGCGCTGACTGAGAGACCTTTGGTGAGTGAGTGAGTGAGTCAGTCAGTGAGTGAGGGAAACTCATGTCTCGCTGAAAGCTGTGACGCGCGTCTGGGACTGTTGTCACCGATTCCTCTCCCATCTGTCTCCAGGATGTCTCGATACTGGATGCTGCGACGCACTTCTGGGACTCTTGTCTCCCGTTTGTCTCCCACATGTCTTGTCTCCCAGATGTCTGGACGCTGGATGACGTGGTCTCCCATTTGTTTGCCGTTTGTCTCGATGCTGGATGCTGTGACGCTGGTCGAGGACTGTTGTTTCCAATTTGTCTCCCAAATGCTGCGACGCCCGTCTGGGACTGTTGTCTCCCATTTGTCTCCCTTTGTGTAGAATGAACAGACCCTGTATGCTGTCACGCCCGACTGGCACTGTTGTCTGCCATGTGTCTCACTTAGTAAAGTAAGCAGACAATAAGCAGATGTTGGGTGCAGAGACGCCCGTCTGGCATTTTTGATTCCGTTTGTCTCCCATGTCTGCCCCAAACAGCTTCAGCAGGGTAAGCCACCAAGGGAAACATAGGTTCCACCATTCCCGCCTGCAATGAGCGTTGTCGGGATGAACACTAGACGATGCAAGGCTACTTTACTTCACGCGTCCAGAAACCAGTTGTGAGGTTCCGGTCGACAAGGTTTAAAGTTTAGAGGGGGGTCTTAAATTGTTTTGAGAAGAGTTTTGGTCTTCGGATGTATCGCGGCACTACTCGAAAAAATGTCTCAATTGTTTCCCATTCTTTGTGAAGCGAGCAGCCCTGGATGCAACGACGCTTCTCACTGTTGTCTTCCATCTGTTTCCCATTTGTTTCCTTTTGTGAATGAGCAAGCCCTGAATGCCGTGACGCCTGTCCCTCAATGGCTGTTTGGTCTAATGAAGTATGTTAGTTAGCACAAACCCCTCCTTCGGGATTCAATATGTTCCTTCGGAGGCAATCGCAATGCTTTGGTGCATTTAAACCGTCGGATTCCCCGAGTCCGCTCCAGTTCTGAGTTGTTTACGCTGCACCGGGAACACCCCGAAGAACATTCCACGTCCAGCAACCCTCGCAAAGAATGGTCTGTGCATGACACCGTGCGACCAGTGATGCTCATTGAAGCGAGTGTTCAGACAAAAGTTTTAAATCCTATTACAGATCACGTGGGATGTGCCTAGGCAGGCGGAGCGCTCAGAGGACAGCATCCCCGCCTATGGGCTTACGGGCCTGCCCAAAACATGACCTTTCAGGGAGTGATGATGAGTGTCAGAACGGACCCGCAACAGCATTTGTTTTAGTTCAACCCATGCGTCTCTAGGGTATTCTCCCCGTCGCCGCAGAACCTATCGAAACTCGAGAAACTCGGAAAGCAACAAGCAGACGCATGGTATGTTGCTGTGAGCCATTGTGAGCCCATCCTATGCGCACAGTAAAATGCTGCCTCGGTAGGCGTTGATGACGGCCGCGGAGCAGGCCTTTTCACCTCAGATGCGCTGTTGTATCGTGTATATATTAAAATATGGTATGATTTTCCTGTCATTTCTTCTCTAGACATCTGAGCACATCCTTCGTAGGCTGTGTGACCTGAAGCCAGTGCAGATTCGGGCTGTCAGGTGCGCTCGAGCCAGAAGTTCAAAGAAATGCTCGATCTAGTAATCCGTGTCCCTGGCTCAGAGATTCATTCGCTTTTTGGCTCATGGCAGATGCTGTAGCAATTGCCAGCACTTTCCAAGGTTGGAAATTTTATCAACCATGGCGTGGATGAGGCTGCGGGCCTGGAGCCACTTCCGCGCAGCACTCATCCAGCACGCGACTCGCTGTGTACAACGTGAGCTGTGAATGCAGGTCGTCGAGGGCACCATCCGTGGAGTCAGTGTGGAGTCTCTTTTGACATTAGCTTCCTTCAAGACCGGAGCCGTCAGGGCCTGAAATGTTCCGCGTGGCTTTGGCACTATGGGCTCGTACGCGCGAGGCGTCAACCTTTGTGAAGTTGCTTTTGCTTGCGGAATGCGGAGGTTTCCTCCTTGCACTTCCTTTGTCTTTCTCTCGGGGCTCTTGACCCAGACTTTTTCCAGGCAGGCATCCCGATAAAGTGCATGCACTTTAGTTGCTCACAGTTACCGCATTGCCATGCTTGCATCGTGCAGGCACTGAAGCAGTCCCTGTCCAGCGTCCATGAGGCCCGCAAATTGGAACGATCTGTGCTGTGGCAGTGTGGCCAGCATCTTCACGAGGCTTCCAAAGAGAAGGCTTCGGCGCTGAAGTCATCCATCGAGGCTCCTTGCAGCTCCCCATCCCCATGTAGTGTTTCGGCATACGGCTTTGGCAGCCCGCACATGTTCAGGCCTTTGGCAAAGATGCTGATACTGCAGAGAAGCAGGCCTGCTTCATGATGAGCCTTTGACAGCGCCTGGCAGTGAACCCGTCCGCAGTTGACTGCTCTCTTGGTGCCCAACGAAGAGCAGGAGGCAGCATGGTTACCATGGTTTATCCTGTGTCAGCCTGCTCACCATGCTTGTCTGGCTGCAGATGTTGCCTCTGGAAAGCTCACTGACGTTGCAACACAGTTGAAGACGTTTGAAGGGTTTGACGGGCAAGGGCTGGTGAACTACGGGAAATAGACGCTTGCGAATGCTTGGAGAATAGACGCTCGGAAGGCTGTGTCTGCCAGTCACGAGGCCTGCGGACCTCTCACAAGCTCTTGGCATTTGCATGCATTTACCTCTTGGCTGGCTGCGGTGCATAAGTTGGAGCGGGGAACTGGGGTTTTCAGTTTGTCTGAATGTGCACCCTGAGAAATGTAAATGACCAGGCTGACCTCCGTGAAATGATGGCCCTGCTACAGCCTTATGCTGCTTTGGATATCAACTTCATCTCACTGTGGTCACTGAGAAGCATACATCCTTTCAGGTGGATGCAAGAAAAAGTTAGGTTGCAACAAATTGGCGATGAAGCCGGGCCCTTGCATTCTCGCGTGGCTGCGCTGTGCTGAGCTTATGAGGCGGTGTTTAGCAAGTTCGTTCAGAGGCATTCGACGCCTGCTTGGATACACAGAAGTACTTCTGTGTCTCCGAGAAAGCACTGGTCCGCAGCCCCAGCAATTGAGATGCTCAACGACGAGTGTTGTGCGAGTCAGCCGATGCGAGTCGGAATGCCGGGCAAAGAGGGGCCAGGGGTGCGTCTCACCCTCTCTTCCCCCTACCTTCCTCGCTGCGTGAGGCAAACCTGCCACCGCTTGGAACTGAGCACTTTCCGAGCCCAAGTAAGATAGCCCATGTTTGCCTGAAATGTCTGAAACTTCCAGCAACATCTACTTTCTGGGGAGGCTTGAGACGTTTTTCCTTCACATAGCTCCTTGGATAGCAGCATATAGCAGCGGAGGTGGTATCTGGGGATGGCGTAGACGCTCTTGCGGCACGTTGCTGATTCTCCAAGGCCACTTTCCTGGATCAATTTTCAGAGGCCTGGCAAGAGATCGAAAAGACACGCCCTTACGACACCCGCCAATGGATCGCTCACTTCGGAACGATTTTTGTCTCCATCCCTTAGAATCATCAAGCTGAGGAGCCCCAAGAAGTGGGAAGAGTTCGCGACAGCAGCAGGCTCACTGCGCCTTGCGATTTCCTCAGAGATACTTTCGCAGGCCTTCCCTCCCTTCTGCCAGGCTTCCGGCAGCGCGTTAAGCGCAAGTCGCTTCCAGCTGGATCGTTTGAAGCTTGAGTGCGGGAATTTCATGATGGTGTCCGCTCGTAGCTGTCTGTTGCTGTTTAGTTTAAGGTCGCAGAAGATGAGCGATGGCCCACGGATGAGTGATGCAGGCTGTAGGGCATCAGCGAGCTTGCACAGAAGACATCACTCGACAAGACAAGTTCGAAACCATGTAAGGCACGGCTTATATTTCTGTCATGGGTGAGTGTATAGACAACAATTAGAGGGTTCCTTGTAAGCAGTGCATTTATTGGGGTGTGTCCTTTCGGGGATGCCTGGGTGGTCTCTTCGCCATGATCATTTGTGCATGGGGATAGGTTGGGGAGAGTGCTGAGCTGCACCCGACGAAAGTTGCAAGCGCCAGCTCAGATCTGCTAGGACTGCAGAGGCGGCCTCGCCGCTCTGAGTGCGGAACAGCATCCACTCGCCCAGAGGCCGTTTTTGTGCATTTCCTTTCCCCTTCCGTTCTCCACATGACTTGTGGAGTACATGCTGCTGTTTTTCGAGCTTCCCTGCTTCTTGCACCCGATAGTGACCGAGGGCAAAGCTCGAGTGAAGGCCCAAGCCAGGCAGGCTCTGAACTTGAAAGACGGCTTGGTCAGTTTTTAAGAGTCCTTGGCGGACGTGCACTTGCGCAATTGCGCACTTGCGCAATTGCGCAATTGCATCTCTTGCGCTCTTCTCTCAAGGCGGTCCGTGTCCTTCCTAAGCTCCTTTGATGTGGGCTTGGGCGAGGCCGAAGTGTGTGCAGAGGGGAGAGCGTAGCCTACAGAGCTGCAGGGAGAGCCTCTGGCCTTGCATGACGCCCAGGCCGCAGCCAGCAAACAGCAGGTGCCTGGATCAGACACGATGAGACGGCGGACCAAGTCCTCAATGAGCTGCTTGGCTCAGTGCCACCCCCACTGAGGTGTGCCGTGCCTTGCTCGGCAGCATCTACTGCAGAGTGGCCGACAGGCCAAAGGGTTGGTATGCTGATGTATGCTGTATCGATACTGCGGATCCATATGGCGATTAGGCCTTTCCCACTTTTTTGGCTCAGGCTGGGGCCGGAATGAGCCCTGTGAGGAGCTCAGGCATCTGTGAAGTGCCGAGTGCAAAGGAGACCCGCGGTCCGGACTTCTAAAGTCCGCCGTGCAAAATAGCGCAAATACATCCAACATTCTCCAACTCTCCAAGTGTTGTGGCAGTCTGAGTGCTGACAGAGACGATGTGCACTGCTCCGCTGTTTGGCTTGAGCTGTACGAGTACAGGTCGAGCCTTTTAGTGCATCATGCATGTCTGTTACTGGTGATGCCAGCAGATTTACCGACTGAATTGGAGCCGAGCAGCTTGTAGCCATTGAGCCTGCTGTCGCCCACGTCTTAAGGGTTACAGAGGGCGCCTTTGAAGCGCCTCGTGTGTACTGCATCATGCCACACTTGTATGTTCTAGTCGGTCACAGGATTCCTCCTCGGCCATGTCCTGCCCTGATGGCTTCCGGCTGGAGATCCACTCGGAATCAGGGAATGGAGACTTGTGCAGGAGTGGGAACTTTTCAAGTGGCTCGGCCTCATGTGAGCAACATGTTCATATCCACACTCTCAGCTTTCCCTGCTTTCTCAGGATGTTCATGCCCTTGTTAGCCCAGGCTTCGCGGCGGGTTGGACCTGCCCGCGTGGGTGTGTACAAACAGGACTTCGATGCTTGCTGAGCAGAGGCAGCAACAAACCAAGATTGATCCGATTCGCTTTCAATCACAGCATTGGTGCCATCAGTCGTCGTAGGAGCCGAGCCGTTCTGCATGGCACTTGGCGTCAGAGGTCCGTCAAACGGTTGAAGTGTTGAGCGCAGAAGTTCTGAAGAGAGGAACAGAGCTGGAGGTGTAAAGAAGTGTCTTGACTTGCTGCTCACGTCATGATTCAGTTCTCTGATTTGTTGCTGTCTGATGCAGGTCAATACTTGGGCTCACCATGCTTGGTTCAGGCCTACCGGGAAAGAATCTTGCTGGTAACTTTGTTCATTCTCAGCGGGAGGATGTGGTGGAGTGTTTGGCACGGTACACAAGGCTGGGACCTTACCCAAGGTGTCCTCCTCTGCCCTTTCTTTTTTTGATCCTGTTTCCTCGCAGGTATCAACCCCTAGACCTGTCGGGACAAGGACGAACGCAGGAGACCAATGCTGCTCAGACGCAAGTGGCGCAGACTTCGGGTCGACTTTCAAGTTCCAGCCAGGTGGGAGCCAGGCTGCTTTTGAACCCACATGCTTGTGTCAGCATGATCTCATCGCAATCAGCGAGCTACTGTCTCCATTCAAGCGGTGAGCTTGATGGTTTCCCTATTCAATTCTTTCACAATTGAAATGTTGAAATGAAATGTAGCGTAGGACGCCCATTAACGACCAATAAGATAGGAACAGCCGCAATACGTTGCCTATGTCTCATATACTCAGGTTCCAGTAGCCGCTCGTTGATTGCACGAGCGCATGTTCTTGGCATGCTCAACTTTCAATTTAGGATAACACGTTGAACGACTGCATCACAGACTTGAGCAGAAGCCAAGTAAGACGTGTTTCCTTCACACGCATCAACAGCACTGGCGCGCCCCGTACAGCGGCATATGCAACTACAATATATGGTGAGTTCATGTGAGTTCTCAAAAGCCTCGGCTTTTTCCATAGATAGGCACACGAACCATGATCTACATCAAATGAATGTCTTCGCTATGGGGCACCCCCCCCCCCCCCCCCTATGTACAGCTCCTCAAACACCTATGTGGCGCTGGTAGTGCACTAGCTTCGCGCTAGCTCAGAAGACGGGTGAACACCCCAACATAGTAGAAACCGTTCAAATCAGCATAAAGCTTCCTTTTTCCTGCCTGACATGACCTGGAAGAAGGGAGTTCCGTTCCGTTTGCAATGTTCAGGTTGCTGCATTCGGGGTCTGCGGTAGTGTTGGAGCGTCTTGTGTCGATTTGCAGGGTATTGCTAGAGCTCGCGTGTTCAACCACGACGAATTGAAACTTTGATCCCATGCAGAATTACTCACGCAGCCCATCGGCCCGCTCTTCGTCCTTGCGTGCCAACCACTGCCCTGAACCACAAAGGTATGACGATGAAAATTGCAACCCGCAGCCAGCCCCCCTGAACCTCCCAAGCCTTAACTCTCGGCGCACAACCACACGAAATGAACCTCAACACAACCCCAATCTCTTCCCCCTTACATTAAAAAGCATGTTGGCCCGGGGAGGATGTAATACTAACTTTAACCCTATACATCTTTTGTGCCCTTTTCGGTTTTGAAAAGGTGCTCCAGCGCGTTTGCTAGGAGGACGTGGGTTTCAGATGCGAATTTTTACTTGTTCATCTCATGGATGGGAGGCTGTTTGTTATCTTGGATATGGGGCGACCCCAACTACATGCATTCCGCGACACATGTTGGATGAGTAGCATTTTGAGCCTAATTTAGCCTTTGACTCAACAGAACCTGAGGTGCGTGCCTGCCAACAGCGCTGTGCCAGTGTGGCCGGCTGCGCACACTTCTCCTTCTATCGAGATGGACTGCACTTATACGGCAACATTATGTGATGCAAGGTTGTTCGTGCATGCTCATCAATGGCTGAGAGAAACAGCATGGAGCCCGTTGTTGGAGGAGGTTGCCACCTGCAAGATGCGTTGGCGGGGATTCGCCCTGACGAGAATGCCGCTGAGACCGGTCAGTATCGCGCTTCAGCACCGCAAGCTGACAAGCTGAGGCTTTCTCCGGACCACCCGTTTGTGCTTCGATCAGTGCTTCAACCGCGAAGCCGAAGCAGGCCCTTTCAGCAAGTAATGAAATCTGTGAACTGCAAAGAGTAAAGCCCAGTAAAGCCCCGAAGGATACATCAACAGGCACAGCCGTTAGATATGCTCACCAGCTGATTCAACATTTATCCGACTCTGTTAATAAGTCACAGCGAAGTCATAGGACTTCTGAAGCCCTAGTTTTGGCGATGCCTGTTGAAAATGGATGAAGAACCTACAGGGATCGCATGGCACTATTGCAGAGGTCACATCCTGGCTGATTGACAGCAGCTCTCTGCATGGCCCCCAGAAGAGCAGTTTGATTCCTAGAGCTCGGAATCTCGGAAGAAGCTGCAAAGCTGCGCAATAGTGAGCTCTCCCGCACGCCCGCGCACCCTGCCAGGCCGCTGAGGGTTCGCGGCTCCAATGTGCTTTCCGCTGATGGGCAGCGTCAGGTCCTCGCATGTGTAAACTGGCACCCCGATGACGAATACGGCGAATACTGCAAGCAATTTCCCGCGGCCTTCAGTAGGCTGTAGGATGCGCGTCTTTCAAGGGCAACCATGTGACGCATGTTGCAAGTAGCGACAAAGCTGGACTGCTTGATGCACACAAAGTAGCCGACTTGAAGACATCCAGGTATGGGGCCCACATGGAGACGCTCGTGAATAATGGGCTCAATGTCAGATCACTCTCAGAGATCGCCAAGCAGATCGTGGATCTCCAATTCAACTGTGTACGCTTGCCGTACAGCCTGGATTCGCTGAATCTCAGCGCTGCCGCCATACCGGATCCCGCATCTCAGCTTTGCCACAATCCAGAGCTCCAGGCAGGCCAGCCTGTATCAGCCTGTATTCACTGTATTCATTCCCACATGCCACCTTCTGATGTGAGAGGCGTCTACCCCGCTGCAGATCTTTGACGCAACTGTGGAGGCGCTAACCGATGCCGGCTTGCTCGTTGTGAACCTGGGCAGCGCTTGAGTGGGTATACGATGGCATCATCGCAACATACCGCAGCACCACCTTGTGTGGGCATCGGGTCGAGTTCTGTTTTTCAGGCTCAACAACCACGTGTCGAAGCGCGGCTGGTGCTGCGCAAAGGGCTTAGGCTTGTGCAACTCACTTGGGAAACCACTCGCATCCACTCGTAAGGAGACAAAGACCAGGATGTCTATGCAAGCCTGTGCTCAGGACACATCTGATGGCGAGGGCCTGTGGTACACCGAGGACTTTCCGGAATCGGCGTGGCTGCACCACCTGGGGTTCCTGGCAGCCCGTTACAGGGGCAATCCCAGAGTCGTTGGCTTCGACATCCGGAATGAGATCCGATCTACAGATTCTGTGACGCCAACTTGGGGTTCTGGCGGCACGGATTGGGCTTTGGCCGCTTCCAAAGGGAGCAGACAAGTCCTGGATGCGAACCCAGACATGCTACTTTTCATCTCGGGCTTAGAGCAACTTGACATGGACTTGTCCCCTACCTGGTACCCACGCCTTGCAGCTGCGTCATGGTAGAGTAACTTTGTACAACAGTCGGGCGGAGTAAGCCTCACAGAAGCGCTGCTTCTCTAAGTTTCTGGCCTGCTCTAGGTACAGCATGTTCCTCTGCGACGTGCCGCAGCACCCTCTTCACATGGAGCCAGGATTGAAGGGCCACATCGTCTACACAACCCATGAGTACGATTGGTACAAGAATTCCATCCAGACCATGTGCTTTGGCGACATCGGAAGACCACATAGCACAATTTAATCAAGCCTCCGATCGCTCACCCCAGTTGCCGTCTACTTCAGAAGCGAACTGCTCTGAACTGCCCTGCTGAATTGAACAGCTCTCTTTGACAAATGTATCAATGTGCACATGAGAAGGTACGAAGATGGCCAGACCCGGTGCGGCATTTTAGCCGCTTGCATTGCTGTGCTGCTGATCCTCTCACTGGCCGCACTGGCAGTTTCGATGGCTTGCCAGGCCAGAGCAGATGAGTGAGTCAGAGTGGCCAGCACAACTAGTGGCAGCATCTGTCGAGATTTCCCTTGGAGTCAGGTGATGATTCCTCCACGAAGACGGCTATGCTGTTGGCCAAAGCTGCAGGGCCATTTCGTCGAGGCCAACTCGATGAACCCTACGTGAAAGGAAAACACTTGTGCACAACGTAGCCTGACGGGTACTGAAGACGTTGTCTATTGAGCGAGGTAGCTTTGGCCGTGCTCGCGATGGCTGCTTTCCTCGTCAGCTTGCTGGTGATCGGGCGAGCTGTCGTGGACCCTTGCCAGGCCTCGGAGAACCAACCACACTCCTGGCAGTGGGCCGGCTTGGATACAGGAAAAGATACGTGTAAAAGCATGCCTGAACCCACACCTGATCTTCTCGCAGGCTGGTGAAATTCCCTTTGTCTCCTTCCCGCAGTTGGTCATCTTCCCGCTGTGGATGCTGGGGCTTGTGTGCTCTGGACGTCTGTCATGCGTGCTCCTGTGGGCACACAGGCGGGGATTGGAAGTTCTGCAACTTCTATCTCAGAGCCTGGGTGCTGCTGCCAGCCCAACGTGATGACCTGGTCCAGCTCACTCTGGCTAGACCTTAGCTAGACTCTTGCCGAGACTCTAGCCGAGACTCTAGCCGAGACTCTAGCTGAGACGCTAGCCATCTCTAGCCTCCAACCCTTGAACCCAGACTGCAGGCCGGTCATGGTGCTTGACTCGCTTGACTGTGATGAAGAGAAGTCCAGTCCTGTCTCTCTGGAATACGCCGCGCAGCTGGCACTAACTCACTTCAGCGAGACCTGTGACTGCTCTGTTCCTCTGTTCTCAACACTCACCATCTCTTACTGCGCTTGCAGTTCCAGCATCGAGGTTGGAGATGATGGCATTGGGATGTCCGAGCTAAATTGTGCGGAAGGTCACGCGGCTGTCCCTTCTGTGTCCTCAGCAGAGTTGGCTCACGGACATGTTTTGACATGTTACTCCGAGCGAGCAGAGAGAGAGAGAGAGAGAGAGAGAGAGAGAGAGAGAGAGAGAGAGAGGCTCAAGCCATTTTGGCTCAAGAACGAGCGGCTCGAGCCCCAGCCCGTGTCCAGGGGACAACTTCAAAGAGAGGGCTGAGAGAGAGATAAGGGGGGAGGCCTGAGAGTCGAAGCTCCTCCGCCCCAGCGCCCGTGCCGCCATACGAGCACATCTACCTGTGTGTGATACTACGCGGGGGCACCGTGAAGGCCCGGGACACCGAGACCGGAGGGGACAAAGCACGAGGTGACCGGCGCTGGCCGAGCTCTCCCACTACCACCGCTGAGGCGTGCGGGGGACTTCCTGACCCACTACCTGACAGGCATCGGCGGCCTACGCGACTAGCTTGGCAAGGGGGGGATCCTGCACTTCCTGAAACCCGCCAGGGACTTTCACATCTCAGAGATCGTGAATTGGGCAGCGACACCGCGAACGATAACTATGTGTGGTGGCAGCGGGGCAACCGCAGGGGAGGGGGCATCGCCTGCCAAGAGGAAAGTGATGGACCTTGAGCCAGGGGAGGAGGTCGAGGTGGTGGAACAAGGGGGGATCACTCTCGCCACCCTGCAAGCGACCCTGCAAGCGACCATCCAGAACGAGCTCCGCACCAACCGAGCAGAGATCAAGCAAGCTGTGGGGGGGGTGCAGAAGGAGATGGTGGAGCGCATGGGGGGCGTGCAGAAGGAGATGGTGGAGCGCATTGCCACGGTAGAAACCGAGGTCACCCACCAGCTCAAGACCACCCTGCAACTTCTCCAGGAACTCACGGCCAAGCAGGACAAGCACGCGGCGGGGATCGAGGAGCTCATGGGGGGCCAGCACGACATGGAGAACAAAATGGGGAGTCTTGCGGAAAGAGTGGAGAAGTTGGAGATGAAGGCCCAGCAAGGCGGTCTATCGGCTCAAAGCACCACTACGACGGAGCATGGCGATGGACTTGGGGGGCGTCGCGTCCCGGCGCTCATCGTGGGGGGTTGGAATGATGACACCACTGCGGGGGACGTCCTGGAAAAAGCACAGCAAGCCTTGCGCATGCTCAAGATAGACATTGACTACCAGGACATGTTCGTCCCCGGGGTCCGCAGAGGCTTTGGGCTCATCCCCCTTAGGGGGCCGAGGCCTGGAGAGACCGATGAGGGGCATCGCCAACGAGTCCAGGAGGCCATCACCAAGGTCCGCAACGCGAAGATGCAGACTGGGCACGTGAGGGAGGACACGGGGCAACCACGCTACATGTTCTTGGCCATCTCGCAACCACCAGAACGACGTCGCCGGGCCAAACTCGCAGCCAAGGTGAAGAGATGCATCTTGGAGCTAGGTGGGGAGCACGCACACCTGGAGGCAGAGTTCGCAACGGGGACCGTCTGGTACAAGGGGCTCCGTGTGTCGTCAGCAGCCGGCCCAATGAAAGAAGGGGCAACGGAGGCGGGGCCTGGATGGATTGACACGAAAGCGTTGGCGAGGGGGCTCAAGATTCTCCCAGACAAGGTGCAGCAACAATGGGAGGGGCTGGCTTCCAGCCTCCGGTGACGAAGAATGGGGCGAAAGAGCGCTTGGTTTCACCTTGATGGCGAGGGAGAACATTCCTATCGCCCGGCACTGACGATGATCACCTGGAACACTGGGGGGGCCGGGGGGCGAAAGATCCTCGACACCCTCCAGATGCTCGCGGATGACAGAATGCTGAACTGTTCCACCTTTGCACCAGCGGTCGTGGCCCTTCAAGAGGTGATCTGCGACCCAGGGGCCCACATGGAGAGTTCAAAAAGTTGGACACTCGTTATGGGCAAGACAGAAGCTGAGTGGAGAGGGACTGGCATAGCGTACACCACCGCGCACTACCACCACACCCACGCTCAACACTTAGAAGGGGCGACCACAATGATCCTGAGAGGGGGCGATCTATCAGATATGGGGAAAACTCGTAACGCACACGCAGACATGGGCATTGGGGTTCTCTCTGTTCACCTCCCGCACCACGCCACTGTTACGCGCACAGAACACCTGCTTTCCACGTGGGGGGCTACCTCGGCGCTCCTCATGGGGCACTCGCTTCTTGGGGGGGACATCAACGAAAGCTTCTATGACACCGAGATAGGGGCCATGGCGACCACCAGCAGAGGAGAATCCGTGATGCAATGGTTAGCCGAGCAGGGGCTTTGGCTCCCTGAGCAGACCATGGATGTCCCGACATACCACCCTTACAACCTGGCCATGAGACCACGCAGATTGGACTACGTCGCCGTAAAGGGGATGCCTGGGAGCAGAGGTCAGGTGCACCAGGGATCCAGAGACATCATCCAGTCGGACCACGACGCAGTCTCGCTTAAAGTCGACAATCCGCTCCCGCCCAAGCTACGTACCAAAGCCACGTGGGGGGGGCGCATCCTCAAGTCCCCTGACCAAGTGGAAGCAGCACTACGGAAAGTACGGCGAGGAGGGCCGCACTCCATGATCGCGGATGTTGCCAAAGAGATCACCATACCGGCACCACAGGGGGGAGAACCCTGGAGCGAGAGTGACTTCCTCAAGCAGCTGAGACGCGAAGCCCGACGAGCACCATGGGGAGACCGTAGACGACTTTGGAAGAGCGTCTGGGGCACCCTCAAACAAGAGAGACGAGCTTGGATGGCGCGCAAGGTCCAGGCAGCAGCACTCATGAACTGGGGGGAACTGCGAGACCTGGGGCGCCTGAGGCAGCCTCCGCACTGGGAGCACCGGCTCACGGCGGACCCGGACTGGCGACACCACCTCACCCAGCACTTCAAAGGGGTCTTTGCTACGGTCCCAAAAGCGGAGGTCAGTGACGCGTTTCGGGGCATCAGAGCGAGACTCCGGAGCATGTGCAAGCACACGCGATGGGAGCCTTTCAACCTGGACGAGCTCAATGCAGCGACTGCCAAGTGGGGGCGAAGGAAGGCCACCGGAGTGGACCAGGTCTCGCTCGAAGCACTACAAGCCATGCTACAAGATGCAGTGTGGGCGGAACGGCTCCTCTACCTGTACAACGACATCCTGTATACGGGGAAGCTGTATGGCAACATGGGGGAAGGGGTCACCATCCTGCTCCCCAAAGAGACACAGCCGGATGAGTGGGGGCAAACGCGACCCATCACCCTGTCCAGTGCCACCCTGAAGTGGTTCTCCCAACTCCTTCTCGGAAGAAGCAGCCATCATTTGGACCCACTGACGACCCACCAGTGGGCGTGGAAAGGCAAACAAGCCGAGGAGCTCATCCTGGTATTGCGCAAAGTCACCCGGGTCGGTATGGACTGGAAGCTCCCCACATGGATCGTCAAGCTGGACGTCAAGAAGGCCTTTGACAGCGTCTACCAGCAGAACATGGGGGCGATGATCGCATACTGGGTTGGTGAGGTGGGGGGGCGGCCGTGGGAGGCACATGCATGGATGGCGCTGTTGGAAGCCGACGTAGTGAACCTCTTTGTGGGGGGGGAAAAGACGAGCATTGAGCAAACGACGGGGGTACGCCAAGGAGCACCGGACGCCCCCGTGCTATTTGCAGCGCTTGTTGGGAGAGCACTCCAACGAGCCCATATCCCCCCTCCTTCTGGGGGACAGAAGTCGCCGGAGTGTCCAGCAGATTCCGGGGCCTTCATGGATGACACGTACATCTGGGGGCATGATCCGGAACATCTGCAGAGAAAGCTCACTGCAATGGAAAAGAAGCTGCAAGAAGATGGACTGCAAGTCCACCCCAAGAAGACGGCCATCCTCACCAACTCAGGGGACAAACGGTGCTTCAGAGTTGGAGGGGCCTGGGTGGAACCCATGCAGGATGAGGGCAGCTTCAGACTGTTGGGGACACCTATAGCCTTCAAGCACCAGGTCTCCTTGCTGGTCGCAGAGATGCAGACTAGGGCGCGCAAAGCGTACTACGCTCACCGGAAGGAGCTCACGGCAGAGGCCCCACTCGAACCCAGACTCAAGCTGTTGCTCGTATATGTTCGACCTGCAGCATTGTGGGGGTGCTCAGCGTGGCCGCCCCAAGATACACTGCTGAAGGCGGCGAACACATGTCAGCTGCAATACGTCAGGAACGTCTTGGGGGCCAAAAGAAGACCCAACGAATTATGGGTCGACTGGAACCAGAGAACGCTTCGAGGGGCCAGGGCCATCATGTGGAAAATGGGCGTGGAGCGATGGTCTGGACATGTGCTGAAGCGGATCTGGGGGCTCTGGGGGCACGTCGCCAGGCAACCGGGGCTCACCCGAAGTATGCTTGAATGGAGGGGGCAGAAGTGGTGGAAAGCAGAGCAAGCACGGCCGCTCGGACAACGCCATCCTGGCAGATTCAACCCCAACCAGGACATCGAGAAAGCAATTGGGGGGATAGGGGGCATTGACTGGATGGATCAAGCAAGGGACAGACAGTGGTGGCAAGTGCACGAAGCCGACTTTGTGGCCAAGCACAACCCGCCCTGGGCCAGCGGAAGGCAACTTGGGCTGGGGAATCTTGCACCCAACAAACCCATGGGGGGCAAAGGGGGGCCAGGGGGACACAAGCAGAGAGGGCGTGCCGCACGCCTGGCCATCACGAATGACCTCTGCTGACAGCATGACAACAGGGAGAGGGAGCTGTGACAAAGGGCTGCGGCCCCCCCCCCCCCCCCCCCCCTGGGCGGAAGATGGGGGGACACGCGCACGAACGCGCACGCACGCGCGCGCACGCGACACTGCACCACCATCGCGCCAACGCGCAGCACCACACCACACCACACCCACCACTGCACAGAAGACAGACAGAAGAAGACGCCCGAAGCCCCAAACACGACACACAGCAGCAGCAGCATGACATGAGTGAGTGTGAGCTGTGGAGTTTGCTGCTTGTGTGCCTGCCAGCTGTGTGCTCGCTGTGTGCTTCAACTCGACAGAGCCGCCGCGCCCCTCTCACAGCAGCACTGAGTGTGTGTAGCCGCAGCTCACCAAGCTACAGCCCAGACACGCACACAGCAGACATGCCACCAGCAATGGCCTGCCGCCTGGTGGGAGCACTGGTTCTGGGAGCGTGGATGGGGCAGTGGAGCAGCAACCGCACCCGGGGACTGATGGCCACTGCAGCGCCCGCTGCGGCACCAACGCCCGACCAATGGGGGGGGCGACCCAATCGCTGGACCAAACGGGGAGGGGCATCCACGACAGAGGGCAGAGAGGCGGCGGCGAGCACAAGGGGAGGGGGCGACCTGGAGGACGGGGGGGCAGGAGGAGGACAAGCAAACGGGGCAAATGGAGAGGATGCGGTGGGACAGCACCAGCCGACCAACCCAGAAGCACACAACCATGGCCAACCATCCGATGCCAACCCAAGCTGCGGGGGAGAAGAAGAACTACACGGTCGTGACAATGGCAAGGACACCGAGAAGGGCGAGTTCGACCCCAACCAACACACCCAGCCAGGGGAACCCTCCACGCCTCACAGCCACCCCTACCACGCCCCGTGCCAGGACCCGGTCCCACGCAGCACCGTGCCCAAAGAGGACCCCCCGCCCACCACTCCATCGGGGGACCTCACACCCCGAAGAGAAGGGGGAAACCCCACGACACACCCGCCCACCACGCCACGCCGTGGGACGACTTCCTCTACCCGGCAGCCCAGCCGGCACCTGACAGCACCCCTCCACCACAGACCAATGTGGCCACCACGCCATGGGGGGTCCGACTCCCAGCACCCTATGACCCCGACACGGACCCATGGAACGTGGAGCCGGCCATCCCAGGCCCAAACAACCACTGCCCACCACAGGCCACCACCCCAACGCATGACACAGCCGCCACCACACACGCCAGGGGGGACCCCACCGGACCAGTGCACATACCAGGACAAGTCCCACCACCAGAACCACAAGGCCCCCACACCCTCCTGCCGAGAAGGGGGAACACCCACCGCAATCACCACACCCACCGCCCGCCCTTCCTACCCTCCACCCATGTCCCCACCATAGGACTACAGGAGGAACACCTCACAGTTACAATACCCATCGTACCGGCCAACGCCCCATGGCTAGCCGTGGTCGAGCAACTACTCCGGCAGCACAGTCGGAACGCTCTGGAGGCGCTCCAAGCACAACAGCACGCCGCGGGGCACCAACCAGGACGGGCCACCCACCCCCCCCAGCACCCATCCAGCTCGCCAGACATGGGAACCGTGGGGCCCAGAACGCCACCCCAACACCCATGGCAGGGGCCCAGCCCACCAGCCGGAGGCACCAACCAGACATCACAGACGCAGCCCGGCAACCAACCCGCCAGCAACGGAGGGGCCCACGGCGCCCAACAACCAGCAGACCACCAGCGCATCGATCCGGGACAGGGGGGGCAGCAGCACCAGCAACCAATACCGCCAACCAAAGCCAACCCGGGGCCCCCTGTCAAACAACCGCCACCATGCCCCCCCAAAGCAAAAGCACACACTGACCCAACGGCGAACGGGGGGGTGACAGCTGAGGGGGAGCGGCCTGCCGCCAAGGCACAGCCTAAACCGCCGCCGCCGCAACCACCCACAGACGACGAAGATGACCAAGACGCGGACGAGCACTGCCAAGACCAACATCCACCGCAAACGGGGCAGGCAGACGGCGCGGGGGGGAAGAAGCAAGACGGCCCGGCACACTGGTACATGCGGGAAGGGGAGACATTTGAGGAGGCCATGGCAAGAAGAGCCAGAAACAGACACGAAGGGAGGGGCGAGCAAAGGACGCGCAACAGAGAGCAAAAAGCACTGCGAGCATGGGAGCGGAAGCAAGCCCAGCAAAACCAACCCAGACCGCATGCACAGCACGGGGGGGCGGCGGGAGGGACGGAAAGGGACGGGCAACCCACCGACTGGGCAGAGCTGCTGAACCGCCACAAGCAACCCAGAGGGGGGGGCGAGCAACCACCACCACAGCCACCACAACCACAGTCGGAGTCGGGGGGGGCCGGAGCAGACGGGGAGGACAGCGACAGCTCCGAGACACACTGGAGCAGCAGCGACCACGACGACAGCCCAGAGCCCCCGTATGCAGAAGCCAACCAGCAGCCCACCGACACGAAAGCAGCGGGGACAGCAGCAGCAGAAGCAGCACAACGCCAAGCAGAAGATGACCGCTGGGAATGGTCCCAGGATGGGCCTCCCCTACTCCCTATCACCAGGCGAGCACAGATCGTCTTCCGCTGGGGGCAACCGGGGGTATGCATATGGGAATTTGAAGTCCTCCCTGGCAACCAGCACGTACCAGGGGGGGCGACGGGTGCGGCAGAGGGGGGTGAACACGCCCCAGGGGGCGGATCAACCACCACCGCTCCGGGTCGGGGTAATAGGCCAGCTCAGGAAGGTGCGCGGCGAGGATGTGTGGGTGATGGCCGTGCTGCAAACAGGGGAGGGCCGACCAAGGGGGGGTGAGGAGGATGAGGAGGAAGAAGCTGTCACACACGTCCCACTCCAACAGGGGCAACTAGCCAGAGTGGACCCCCACATCTACCGATGCGCTACGCCCCATCACCAGACCCAACCACCAGCAAGGGGGCTCCTCTGGGTCAGGGCACGCACCACCACAGCCACCGCCACCTGCGAGCGAGAACCGCGCCACCACCCACACCGCCGGTGAGCACGCAACCATCACCACGGACACCACCGTCACTGAGACGACCACTGACGCCCACGACCCCAACCCCACTGACGGGAGCGCGGCAGCCAACACGCAGCGCCCCACAGCACCAGCAACGACAACCGCAGCAGCACAAGACGAGGAAGGAGACGACACGCTCCTGGTGCAGAAAGGTAGGGGAAGAAGGAACGGGGGAGGAGGAAGGAAAGGCGCACCCAAACGCGCTGGACAACGCCCAGCGGGGGCTCAGCCACCAAGCAAGCGGCCCAGGATGGGGGCCAAGGAAAGGCGGGCCACCACAGCAAGCACCTACATACACGCAGCACTGAGTGCCCTCCGGGGACAAGCAGGAGAAGGAGAAGGGGCAGCAACGATAGAAGAGGGGGAAGGACACCTGGTGGCAGCGCTTCAATGCCTAGGGCGGGTCACAGGAGAGGAAGAGGAGGAAGAGGGGGGCGAACACGAAAACAACAGCGTCGGCGGCACCACCCCACAGCAACCACCACCACTGCCACCACCAACCACGCGGGAACCCGGCCCAGGCGAGGAAGGATACGGGAGCAGCAGCAGCAGGGACGGGGCGGGGGTGGCACAACCGGGCAGGCACGGCAGACTGGTCGAGCCTATCACACGTGCAACGGAAGCGGGGCGTTCTACGCAAGGAGGCCAGCTGCAATCACAAGGGGGGACCACTACGTGGGAAGAGGTGGCGAGACTGGCGGGGCAGGTCTGCCGGGGTTGGGGGGCCCTCACAACGGAGGAAAGAATGCAGGACACAATGACCATCCTGCACCTGGTGAGGCAGGGGAGGAGGTGGCTGGACGCTGTCAAGAGGACCAGCAACTGGGAGTTACAAAGCATGGCTGAAAGCAAGGCAGCAGAAGCAGAACAAGCAGCCCTGCTAGCACTCAGTTACCCCAACCACCACCAGGCAGCTGGCCAGATACAACACGTGCAACATCACGCAGAAGCATGTGTGGGGGCGGAGGCCATTGCGCTAGAAGTGACGCTCAACACTGGGGGGAGTGAACAAGCAAGCGAAGGAGTACACCCGGCAGACGCGATTAGCCTGGCAGCGGGGGGGGAGGAGGCGGCACCGGCTGGGGATAGGGGGTGGCTGCAAACGGGGGGACACCCAGCAATGCGAGCGAGAAGCATTCTCCGGCATCTGCTGCCCTTCACCGGGGGGAGGTCCGACAACAAGTACAAGCGGCGCTCGGGGCCCTGGATGAGTGGAGCACCGAGCTATGGGGGGGAGAACTCCTGGCGATCGAGGACACGTTTGGGAACAGCGGGGAGGAGATGCACCCACCACCACCACCGCCCACACACCACGCAGAAGGGACAGGCAGGGGGACAGATGGAGGCGGCGGGGGCAGGGAAAGGAGGCACGTGGAAGAACATCGCGAGCTGCCGCCACCCGAAGAAGAACTACATGATCGTGACAATGGCAGGGACACCGAGACGGAGATCTGCGACCTGGAGGGAGGAGTGGAAGGGGGGCGCTGCAATGCACTGCCGACCACACCGGGGGCGGGGGGGCCGAGCACCCAAGCAACCGTTCCGTGGAGCCCACCACCGCCGCTGAGCTCCACGCTGACGCCGGCCCAGTTCGAAGGGCCAGTCCGCAGGAGGGGGGAGGCGCAAAGAGGGGAGGCAGCAGCAAGGAGAAGGTCGAAGCAGCGAAGGCGCCTTGGATGGGGACAAAGAACCCGAAGATCACGTAGCGGGGGGCCACCATTCCGCAGACGAGTGACACGCAGTAGTGGTGGGACTCCCAGCAGAAGACGTGTTGGGGGACTACCAGCAGGACAAGCACTACTGAGTCTACCGGATGAGCACAGGCGTAGACGCGAGCATGCAGGGCTCGAGTAGAACTAACTGGGGGCTGTAGCAACGCCTTGGGAGGGTCTTGCTTAGGTTCAGGTTTGGGGGCTTGTAACGTGTTATGGCAACAACCCCGATGAT